CTTTTCCTATAACATAGATATAAATATTCATTTTTTATTTTAAAATACATAATATATATAAACAAAACAAAAATAACATAAAAACTTCAACATTCCATTTGAAAGCTTAAATTTCATATAAAACTTTTTACTCATTTTTAATCAAAAAATCGAAGAGAGCAGGTTACAATAAACGGTTACCAAATAGCCCATTTGATAACGTTCCTATTTATTGTTTATTGTTTTCAATTTTATTAAGAAGTACAGGCATTTGGTATCTAATTATATTTGTTTTTTAACTTTTTTTTTAGAAATATTCTCAAATTTTGTAAAAATTTTAAAACAGCAAAAACAAATTTTTTTATTTTTGGTTCCCGTTAGTTTTGATATTATTTGAGTCTATAGATGTCGGGTCATGCAATTCTATTTTTCTACATTAAAAATAAGGAAACAGAATCAAGGAACGAAAACATTACCAAACATAAAAGAAATAATAAGAAAGAAGAAATAGATACCAAACGTGATTATATCTTGAGAATTAGAAGTATGTTACAAAATATTACACAGTATGTATGGTTAGTTTTACACCGTTAGCTGTATAAAACAAGGTTTCCCCTTTGGCTGTTTCTCATATTCTGGCAGGCAGTAGAACTCCTCTTCCCACCAAACACCAATACCCACTTCTCGTTAAGTCTTGAACAAACTTATTTGTCCCAATGGTATCCAACAATTTTCAGTACCAATCAATTGATTGATTGGCGATCCCTTTTTCTGTCCTTATCACTTGTCAAGCCCCACCTATGTCATTTTTTTAGAATTTAAGATACATTATTCAAGATTCGGACACCTAAATTTATAATATGGACTTAACTCAGGAATAATTGACACCTATTTTTTATCAAGAAATTAGGAGTTCATGTGTCTACTAAAATAAATCAAACTTGAGATGTAAGCATCAAAATTATTTAAACTTAAATATTATTATCTTTTGGATTGGCTCTAAATTATATCCAATAATAGAAAATTATGCATCTTGTTATCATAACTAAATCCCAAATATATAGGATTAGAGTTATATTCCCAGTCTGAATCATTGTATATTTTTGAGTTCTCATTAATCCCTCTTTGCTTTTCTTTTTTATTGCATTCGTTATTGTCCAAAACGACAAAAATTGTCCTCGGAATGGAATCAACATCATACTCATCCTTAAATTTTGATTTTTTTTTTCTTTGTTGTCGAAGTCCAACGCTCGACAAATCGACATCCGTAGAGATTTTTCGCATTAAATCGACTTGAATTACTTGACAAAAGAGTATAGATTATGGGTGCCTGATGGGGCTGCTTCCGCTTTCGTTTTGCGATAAATCCCTTCCCCAGTCAATGCTCAATCAATGGCGATTTCCACTCCAAATACTATAAAACCACAGAATCATCTCGCCACGTTTCTTCAACTCTGTAGACATTCTATTAAAGCCTACACCCAGAACCTGCTCTGTTTCCAGCTTCCTCATGATGCCCATTTCACCGTTTGTCCCTCGTCGAATCGATCAAAAACTGAAGAAATCCAGGTTTATCCCCATTACCCGTTTTGAAATTTTGAATGACGGGAGCTTTTAGGAGACGAACTTCCTTTTCAAGGCCCATAGATCGCCTCCGACTCCGATTCCGATTCCGAGCCTCGCTGGACGGTGCCTCGAAATCTGGGTTCATCCGAGAGATGAAGGTGAAGGAGATCTTGACTTCTTTTCTGATAGTTTTTCCGTTGGTCGCTTTTGTAGTCTCGGTGCTCCGGAATCCAGCGGTGGATCTCTCTCTGGGTTTCGCAGAAGCCAGAGCCTTGGAGAGAGCCGCCGCCAACGCCAGTTCTGAGAGTTCAGGTTAGTTTATACAGTTATCTGATTTCTTTAGCTGTAGATCCTGCCAAATTTTCAATCATTAATGTCCCAAATTTGAGTTGCTGGGCTTTTGGAGAGAATGTTTTTGGACTGTTTAGTGTTCTCTAGTCTTGCAAGATGTTATGGATATCATTATTAAAGCTGTTTTGGTTGGCTCGCATGGCAGATGTTTGGATTTATCAATTCAAGAATGAGATCCGAGTTATACACACTTCCGTAGAATCTTAACATTTTCAAATCCATCTCTTTCTCCTGTATATAGAAGCCAATTAGTGTCACTCACATTACATCTGAAACCTTACATCTTTAAAATGAATCCATTTTTTTCCTAGCTTTCTTTAAAATGAATCCATTTCTTTAAAATGAATCTATTTTCTCATATCATTACATCCTTGAAGAAACAGGGGAACCTTTTTTTTCTTTCAATGTGCTTTAGAGAAGCTTATACATTCCAAGAATCAACCCATGCTTATCTTTTGTCACAGTTTCTATCATCTATTTTGCATCTTGTATGTTCCCAAGTGTCAGTTCTTAAGTAAAAATGAGTGAGGTGCTGCAAGTTTTTGTTTCTTTTACAACACGACCAGTTTGTTATCGAGTTGATTCAACCTTCTTGAACATCCTTTCACAACAAGTTGTCGGGTAACGTATCAACGTTGATCGAGTTGTGATCAGACCTCTATGAAGCATAAGATAGACAGAATTAACTCTGTCGAAATTTGTAGATTTACTTCCATCTATGCTTGTGGGAAAAGAAATAAAGAGAATGAAATTTGTCCAGTGTTTCTTTGCTTTCTGATTTTCTTAATCCTTTTCCATGTTTTCAATTTATAGGCTCAGCAAATGGTTTCTCTCGACTTTCGGACAGAGACAAACTTCTTGGTGGCCTTCTAATTCCTGGATTTGATGAAGGATCATGCTTGAGCAGGTACCGATCCAGTTCATACAGAAGAACTTCTCCCCACAAACCCTCTCCTTACCTCCTCTCTAAACTTAGAGCCTACGAAGCTCTTCATCGACGCTGCGGACCCGATACAAAACCATACAATGAAGCAGCAGAGCAACTCAGGTCTGGCAGTAGTGTTAGTTCGACCGAGTGTAAATATATCGTTTGGATATCTTATAGTGGCTTGGGAAACAAGATACTCACTCTGGCTTCTGCATTCCTCTATGCCCTCCTTACCAATCGTGTCTTACTTGTTGACCCAGGGAAGAATATGGCTGATCTATTCTGTGAACCCTTCCCAGAAAAATCTTGGTTACTTCCAAATGACTTCCCCTTGAAGGATCAATTCAGTAAATTCGATTTGAAATCTCCTCATTCTCATGGAAATATGCTGAAGAGCAACGCTCTAAACACGGCAACACAACCGCTCCCGTTGTATTTATACCTACATTTAGTTCATGATTATGATGATCATGATAAACTTTTCTTCTGTGATCAAGAACAGGCTCTTTTAGGCAAAGTCCCTTGGCTGATACTCAAGACAGATAACTACTTTGTTCCCTCTCTCTTCCTGATCCCGTCGTTCGAGCGCGAACTAAGTAACTTATTTCCCCAAAAGGACACAGTCTTCCATCATCTGGGCCGGTATCTTTTCCACCCATCAAATCATGTTTGGGGACTAATTACGCGATACTACGAAGCGTACCTATCTAGTGCAGATGAAAGAATAGGAATTCAAATAAGAGTGTTTGTGGACGGGCGGGGGCCATTCGAACATATAAAGGATCAGATTTTAGGGTGCACCCTCAAGGAGAAGTTACTGCCTGAGGTAGACAAGGAAGGCTTCTCTTCCATTCCTTTGGAGCACCCAAGAGTGAAGGCTGTTTTATTGACATCTTTAAGCTCAGGGTATTCTGAAAAAGTGAGAACCTTGTACTGGGAACACCCAACCAAAACCGGAGATGTCGTAGGAGTCTACCAGCCGAGCTACGAAAAGTATCAGCAGACGGGGAAGAAGATTCACAACAGGAAAGCATGGGCAGAAATGTACCTTCTGAGTTTTAGTGATGTACTGGTGACCAGCGCATGGTCAACATTTGGATATGTGGCTCAAGGTCTTGGCGGGTTGAAGCCATGGATTCTGTACAAGACCGAGAACTTGACCGTGCCCGATCCACCGTGTGTTCGGGCGATGTCGATGGAGCCTTGCTTCCACTCTCCTCCGTTCTATGACTGCAAGGCAAAGAAAGGAATAGATACTGGTGCAGTTGTTCCCCATGTGAGACATTGTGAAGACATCAGCTGGGGGCTTAAACTTGTTAACCATGAGGATTTGTGACAACATCTATTCACATGTATTGGAATTTGTCCCCATGCCTTGGATGGATCTGTTTTCTTTTCAAATCCATTATTTTGAATACGTTCGAAAATGGAATATTGAACAACAAAAATCTCTCTGCTTCGCCTTGGTTGTAAAAGTAGTAGAACATGGTAAAGGTCTGAACTCATATTGTTAATCTATGAAGTAGTAAACAATTTTCATTCAATTATTTTCATATTCTTTCGAGGCATTTGTAGGATCAATTTTAGAAACTACAATTTATTTTTAAAACCATTCGATAAATTTTAAATTAAACAATATTTGATGTCTACAGAAAACTTTTTTTTTTTTGAAAGAATTGAAATATATTATTAATAAAAATGAGTTTGTGTCTGATAAAACTACCATAAAATCAGTCAGATGTTAACATAGTTCAATATTGGTTGATATTACTTAGCTTTTGATATCAATCAATTGGTTTGTTGGTTGGTTGGTTTTAAACTAAATATAGTTGGTTTTAAACTATATGTAGAAACCAACTTAATGGAATTAATACAAACAGACCAGCATATTATAGGTAAGTGCAAATCACAATCCTACCTTAGATGCTCAAATTTTAACTGTCTGAATTCATTGTCTATTCTTTAATTTCTATATTCTTTCTCTCTTCAAATTTTACTATCTGAGTCACTCAGTCTCCTTTAGGTCGACTAAATTGAAACAAGATTTATGCTCGAATTGAAAGATCGTCAAACTTTCAATTAAACTAGCTCGATTTTGTCTTTTTCCCCTAATTTTCATCGGTCCTATAGAACATAAATATCTCAATCAGGTAAACTACGCTTAAGTTGGCTAATATTTCAATAGTAACAATACAGATCGTTGAAAACAAATAATGTAATCAAACAGACTTCAACTCAATAAATTAAATCTTACCAATGTAGTCATTGCAAAAAAATATATACATACAAATATCTCAAATTAAATAAACAAGAAAAAGAGTATAAACCCTCATTTCCCATATATGGTGGAAATTCTCCATGGGTGGATGATTCCAAAGAAGGCTAACTTGATTTGGAAGTGTGCTTCAAGAGCCCTTTTATGGCATCTTTGGATAGAACGGAACTCTCGGGTCTTCGAGGATATAATCAGCCCTTTTGACATTTTTTGTAGGAATGTACAGCACATTGCTTCTTGGTGGTGTATTAATTACGGAAAATTCTTTTGTAATATCAACCTCTCCTTGTTCATGAACAATTGAAAAGAGTTGGTCTAGTTTTTGGGTGGGGTTGCCTCTACCCAGCCCGTTTGCTGTATCTTTCTTTTGTGATTAATGAAAGTTTCTCTAAGTTTCTATTAAAAAAAAAAACCTAAACGGCTAAACCTTAAACTCCACTTTACTCTAAAAAATAAAAAATAAAAACACTCTCCTCTCCCATTTTACTTTTCTTCCACCAGGCGCACGCGATTAACTCAGTCCCGCCGCGCCGCCGTCAGTCGGAGCTCCAGCCGCACCACCGCTCATGCGTCCGGCCGCTCCTCAGTCGTGAGATCCAGCCACTGCTCTTTCCGCCACTCGTGAAGTCCCACCGCGTCGCGAGTCTGGCTGCCCCTCTCTGTGAGTCCAATCGCCAGGTTCCTTCTTCCAATAAAATGGAGTATAATTGAAAATTAATAAACTTTATTTTCAAATTCTGCCAAATTCGAACTATTTGGAATTGAAAAAATTTCGGCCAAAAAAAGATTTCAAATCCTTTTTTTTTAAGCAACCAAACGCCGGAAATGATTTCAAATAATTGGAAATCCTCCCAAACCCTGAGGTTCCAGCAAGGTGTTATTCTTCTTGCCCACTTCTAGTTCATCGTTGTTCTCCGCCTTTCTTTTGTGTGTGTAAATTTTGCTGGTTGATTTCTGTTCATCTTATAGATTCAACACGGTTTTTCAATCATTCTGATTTTGTTGGTTTGGAACCCTAATGATACTCAATGTGAGTTTGAAGACTCTTTGTTGGTGGCTTCGGTTTCTCCTTGGCCCACTGCAGCTGATGAGGTGTTTGTGGCGTCGGCCATCTGCTCTGATACTAAGAAAGAGAAGCTTACTGGAATTCTTTAGATATTTGAGAGTAATTTTGTTAACAAACGTCTCTGCGTTTTCATACCATGAAAGGTTTACAAAGACTTGCTTGAATAGAAGTTGTGAAAATAAGCAAAAGGCAGAAAGGAAAGATGAAAAATGTAAACTCTTTGTCTAAGCAGAGATTAGGTAGGAAAAGAAAAAAGAGGGTAGTGGTTTACCCAATGTAATGAGTGCTACCTACTGTAATAAATGTTGATTTACAAGACAGAGTGGTTGGTTCACGTGTTGTTTCGCTTTGCTGTGATATCTGATTTACCTCCTCGTTTCTCATTTTTTATTGTAGATTGTTGGATAAAATCGAAGTCAAAACAAGAGGAGTTATGTCCTTCATGAAAGGAGATTTGCTAGCTAGGACTAGAAAGCTCGTCAAGGGCTTAGCCAAAGCAGAACCCGTTTGGCTCAAAGCAATGGAACAGTCAGTTCTTCTTCTATTATCTACTTGTACTTGCTTCAAGTTTCTCAATTAATCATGTCTCTGGCATCTGGTTTTGTGAAAAATTTTCGCAGCAGGTTTCTGTTCATTGAATTCAATAAATATAACTGTCAATTGAGATTAATTTCTTTGAAAGTGCTCCAAGTTTTGGGAATTTTTTCCTGTTGTTTCTGTGGATTGTTCGTGTTGAGCTCATTGTGGTAGCAATGGATGCATAAAAAGTTATGGCTGCAGCTGGCCTCCAATTATTTGAAACAATTATCTTACCTTCATCCACTAAACTCTTCCTCAGGGCGCCACCTCCTACATTTCCACGAGTAGATGGAACAATCAAGACAATCAGTCTTCCTGAGGATGTATATGTAAAAAAATTCTTCCAGAAACATCCAGATTCAAAATACGAAGATGCCATCAAGTATGATGCTCCTCTTTTACTTGTAGTTTGTCACATTTTACACCATCCATTTCTGAAATGAGGGATTGACTTCATTTTCCGAGTGCAACCTGTCTTCATCTGTTGCTTGTTGGTTGACTGGTTGTTTATGCCTGCATTGTACATTTAGCCATGTGTTTGCTTACCATGAGGAATTTTAAGACTGCTAGATCCTCTGGATTATCATCATTTTAGTGAAGACACTTTTTTATGGCAAATTACACGAAGTGAGTTATGTTTTAAAAGAGCCAGCGTTTTTTTCTATTTCCTGTTAAATGTTATGTGTGTTTACTTCTAAGCAAGATGCTCGTTATGGAATAGATTAAGTGATAACAAAGTTTCTAATGTCATGCATTTTTTATCATTGGGAATGATGGTGAATTGAATTTGTCATTTACCCTCTTCTTTAAGATAGAATCTCTAATTCTAATACACAGTCAGCTTGCTGACATAGGTACAATTGGAAGCATATATATCTGTGGACTTTTATCTTGAATTGATGGAATCCTGAAAGATAGAGAGAGAGTTCATCAGTAGTTGGCTTTTGTTGCAACAGGTTTTGTAGTTTTGATCCTCCTCCAGCTAGAATATTTGGCTTGCGGGTGCTTGAACTGAAGGAACAGGGTGTCGGTGAGGAGGAAGCCATGGCAGTAGCCAATGTATGGATTATGGATATTTTACTCATTTAGTTCTTTGAATCCCTCCATTTTGTTAACAATGTCTTTTGCCATCCAGATGGAATATCGAGCTGAGAAAAAGGTGAAAAAGAAGGCTTATGCTCGCTTGAAGCAAATTGCACGTCTTCAAGGGAAGAAACCTCCTCCCAACCCCTATCCAAGTGCTATCAAGGAGATACAAGCCGAGGAAAGGAAGTTCGTCCGAGATCGTTTCTTCAACCCCAAGATTAAAGAGATTGCACAAAGGTTGAAGGAGGAGAGGGCAGCTGAAATGCAGGACAGGATGCGAGGTGGTGGCTGGTGATCTAGAGTTATAAATTACATCGCAGAACTTCCATCCTCCAATATTTACTTCTGGAAACTTAGCTTTTGCAATAATTTTGGCAGTTCAGCAATCGGGAATTTACTTGCAATTTTTAGTCTCAAAAGAATATCATGTTAAAAGATTTTCTTTCATGTTATTCGATTAAGTTTTTGCCTTCCTCACAGAGGCCAGATATTCCACGATGGCTGTCGAAAGGTGGCTATGGACACCAAGATAGTTGTTGAGTTAAAAGTTTAATCAAATAGAACCAATTCAGTACAGATGTGAGATATCAAATTTTTAATTATAGTTTTGAACATTACACGGTTCTAACATTAAATAAACTTATGTTAACCGTTGTGATGTATGTCTCCAACCAAAAAGATTGTGAGTTGACATCTCCCCTTCCACGAGTAGTTGCACTACAAAATATTAAATAAACTTGCAAATCGAACCGGGTAAAGTTCATTAAAACAAAATTTGGTATGATCCATAACCATAAGCTCTCACAAAGTAGTAACACTCTTGACAAAGCCAATCAATATCTCACCCTTTATTTTTTAGGTCACTCGGTTTTCCAAGCCAACAAACATCTAGATACAAGTGCTTCTACAATATCGCTCTTCATTGCATCTCTAACTAAAAAGTGGCTAACAGAACAAGTTGGAGAACTTCTAGATCATTGAAGTTCAGAGCAATTTTTTTAACTAGAAAGAAGATAGGCCAGCAAGTTTTCGAAACTTCTCATAAGACACCCAGAAGACAAATTGCCAAGGACCAAGCCTCGCCCAAGTAGGGAAAAACCCCTTCCACAGAGCTCTCAACCCTTCAACTTTAACAGTCTTTACAAGACAATCATATGAGCTATTGTACTTGATCGTACCTTCCTTGCTAGCTGCTGCTTGATTCATCATTCTTGTTTTTACAACATCAGCTGGACAACTCAGAGTAGTTGCACACAACCCCGAGATTACAGAAGCAAATGTGTGGCCAAAGATATTGTCACCGGCTATTTGATTCTCGATTATAAAGCGTTTTGCATGATCATAGCAGGCTAGTTCTCCCATGTTAACCAAAAAAGCTCTTTGGACATTCGGAACAACCCCTTTCCAAAGTCCAATTATCCCTTCTGCACGCACTATCTTGGTTAAGGCATCGAAAGGTCCTGAGTATCTGGGTTGCAGACCTTGGCTCCTTAGACGGCCATCGGCTTGCATCCTCACCTTAACAAGATCAGCAGGACTTGCCACTACCTGAGGTACTAATGGTACACACAAAAATATTGATATTTAGCAGAGGAAGTACAGGTAAAGAACATAAAAAGATCAAATTTACAGTAATCTATCAACCTAGACTTTTGAATTGAGGAGTAGTTCAACATGGTATCAGGTATTCGAACTCGTGAGGGGGGTGTTGCATTCGGTGATAGTTTGAAAACTTTAACATAGAACAAGGCGTAAAGAAAGTTCAGACAGTGCCGGTGATTTTCATGGTCATCCTAAAACATCCTAGATTCTAAAATTTAAGCATTCAAAGATTTCTAAAACATCGAATCAAACATGTTATGATTTGGAAGAGACCGGCACAGGTGCCAGAGATTATACATCTAATGAATTGTTCATAACTCGATTTGCTAAATTTTCCACATTGAAGCTGAATTGGCAAACGCAAGTCTCTAAAACGTACATGACTACATCCTCAGTAAAAGCATAATGCAGAAAATTCGAACCTGAGCAATGGAGCCAGAGATTCCACCGACAAGAGCCTTGGCATGGAGGGAAAGAGAACCGCTATCGGGGGCAAGAAAGAGGGATCGTAGGTGCTCGTATCCAACGATTCGTATTGGCGTGTAGAAGAGGTGCCTGAGAATTGCCGGAGACAGGCCCCTGTAGAGGCCAAAGGGACCTTGCTCCTTGACGATCGACGAAGCGACTCTGAACGCATTTGTGGAGCGAGAGGAGGACTCGCCGTGGAGCTGAAGCCTGGTCTTAATTAGGTCCATAGGGAAGGTGGTGGTCTCGGCCACCATGGCGGAGAGCGAGGTGAGAAACAATTTGGTGTAGGAATTGTGGCCTCCATTTTCTTTGCTTGTTTTCATCGATGAGTTCCCAAAACCCTACTCCACTCCTGATGCCAGAGGAGAAGAGATCCTCAGTGTGGCGACCAATTTTATTAATTTTTTTTATTCACAATGGATAAAGTTTCAATTCTCTGAGAATTCGTATATTATGGTAATATATAATTCAATGATTTTACTTTTGCCTTTCGTCGAGTTCAATTTCTACTGTACCCGAAATTCTAATTATATGTAAGCAGTAAAATAAGAGGGAAAAACGCAACAACAACATTCAACAATCGTGGCATGACTTTTGAGCAATTATATTATTATACCTTAAGCTTTTGAAATGATTGCGATTAAATTTTGTAATTTTTTTAGTTCAATTAAATTATGTAATTCTAATTTTTTTTTGCTTTCCGATGGATACAAAAGAAACCAAACTAGGAAATGAAAGTAGAACAATTAGAAGCAATTAAATTGGAAATTTTAGAAGGACACTCCTCAAGTCAAATATGGGTCCAAATGCCTAACAACGACTTTTTGTGCCCGTTCATGGGTTGCTGCATTGCCTTCATGGTGTGTGAAGGTGGAACGGATCGAACCCAATAGAGAACACCATTGATGAATCTCAACAAGAAGGTACCTTAGACAAATCTTCAACGTCCTGAGTGAGAAACTGGAAATACTGCCAAGAGTCCGTCTCGAGAAGAAGTTGAAAACCTACATCACTCGCCAACAGAAGGCCACGATGAAACATTATAACTTCTACCAAATTGACGTAGGAGAGGGACAATGAAGCTGACAAGAGAAGATGAAATATTTAAGTCAAAGATTATTTGGAAATATGTATAGTGTACCAATATGTTACGGAAATTGTTAAAATAAAAGTAAAAACCGCTTGAATCAATTTGTTGCAAATATATGAAGAATTTACAGAAAAATAGATAATTGTTATGGTTCAAATTTCATAATTAGTGCTAATGTAATGTAAGTATACCTAATGGTTAAGGTATTTTGTTACTTTTTTAAAAATGGTAAGTTTAAACATTTATTCTCTGTTAAAAAAAATTAGTTCAAATACACGTTGTCGTGACGTTTTAAAAATTTAAAGATTAAAAAAAAATTATTAGGAAGTTAAAGAAGATTTAGCCCAACTCATATTTTCCCTAATACATTCCATAACAGACTATTGTAATTAATGTCGAAATTGAACGGCCCCAACATAACCGTTGATCAGTTAAACTTTTTTAAAGCGTTCGAGTTCAAAGGGAAGGAGAGAGAGAGAGATTCGCGAAATATGACCGTTACACATCCCAAATTTTAAAATTTCCCCAGAAAAATTACAACCATCAGAGAGAAGAATCGTACGTTTTTCAACTCATCTGCGAAAATGGCAATGGAGGAAGAACAAGAACAAAAACCCAAGGACCCAGAAATGGCAGAGCTCGAAATGCAACTACTCAGATCCAGAGCCACAGAACATCTCCTCAGAGAAGAATGGAACGACGCCGTTCACGCCTACTCCCAATTCATCCGCCACTGCTCGAATCACCAAACGGATCTCTCCAAGCTTCACAAATCTCTCTGTTTAGCCCTCTGCAACCGAGCCGAAGCCCGATCCAAACTCAGAAATTTCGACCAAGCCTTGAAAGATTGTGAAGAAGCTTTGATAATCGACAGCACCCACTTCAAAACTCTGCTCTGTAAAGGTAAGATTCTGCTCAATCTCAACAGGTACTCTGCCGCATTGGATTGCTTCAAATCGGCTCTCCACGACCCACAGGTCATTGGGAGCTCCGAAAATCTTAATGGGTATCTCGAGAAATGCAAGAAACTCGAACATTTGTCGAGGACTGGAGCTTTCGATCTCTCCGATTGGGTTCTAAATGGGTTTCGTGGGAAACCCCCAGAATTGGCCGAATTCATCGGCGCGGTGCAAATTAGAAGATCTGCCATCAGCGGGCGTGGGCTATTCGCGACTAAGAATGTAGATGCTGGGACTTTATTTCTAGTCACCAAAGCAATCGCGATCGAAAGAGGGATTTTACCAGAAAATCGCGACGAAAACGCCCAATTAGTAATGTGGAAGAATTTCATCGATAAAGTCACGGATTCCGCCACAAAAAGTGCCAAAACGAAGAATCTTATTGGGTTACTCTCGATCGGCGAAACAGAGGAGCGACTCGAGGTTCCAGAAATGGGTTTCTTCAAGCCAGAAACAGAGGATCAGACGAGTAAAGAAATTGACCAATCTGAAGAAAGGGGCAGAATCGTTACCGTTTTGGACATCAATTCCCTCGTTGAAGATGCAGCTTCCGCGAAGGTTTTGGGGAAAAACAGAGATTACTACGGAGTTGGACTATGGGTATTAGCCTCATTCATAAACCATTCTTGCAGCCCCAACGCCAGACGCTTGCACATTGGAGATCACATAATGGTCCACGCTTCAAGAGACATAAAAGCAGGGGAAGAGATCACATTCCCATATTTCGATCCGCTTTCGCCGTCGAGAACCCGCAAGAAAATGTCGCAGACTTGGGGGTTCGAATGCAATTGCAAGAGATGCAAATTCGAAGAACAGATCAGCAGCAGAGAAGAGATGAAAGAGATTGAAATGGGAGTTGAAGGAGGAACTGAAATGGGAGCTGTAGTTTACAAATTGGAAGAGGGAATGAGGAGGTGGATGGTGAGGGGAAGAGAGAAGGGGTATCTGAGGGCGGCGTTTTGGGCAGCGTACGGCGAATTTTTTGGATCGGAGAAGGCGATGAAGAAATGGGGGAGAAGAATTCCGGCGGCGGAGATGGTGGCGGAGAGTGTTGCAGAGGCGGTGGGGAGCGATGAGAGAGTGGTGAAGATGATGGTGGAGAGGTTTAAGAGAAGTAAAAACAATGGTGGGGTTATGGAAATGGATAGGGTTTTGAAGTTGGGGAGAGGGATTTATGGGAAGGTGATGAAGAAACAGGCTTTGAGGTCTGTTCTTGAGCTTGGGGGTGGCAGCCATGAATATGGCTACTAGTTTTTTTTTGTGTTTTCTTCTTCTCTGTTTTCTTCCATCTGCTTCTGTTTTGTGAAGCTATGGGATGGATGTTTTTTTTTTTTTCGTTTTTGTTCTTCTTCTTTCTTTTCTGCTCTGAATTGTTTCCTCAAATTAGGAGGAAGAACATGTTCAATAAAGATGCAAACAGCTTGTTTTTAGGTAATTTGTGTTTAATGGCGGGGTTTGAGTTGACAGAGCTGTTTAAAAGTTTGTTATTTTTAAGATATATATTAAAGGTTGGAGTTTCAAATTCTTAAAATCCATTAAAAAGAATATTCATAAATATTTAAATATTTAAGATGTTTTTTTATCCTTCTAATTTAATATTGATATTTATCTTAAAAAATAGAGGCTATACTATACGACGATAAATAAGGTGGGAGAATTTAAGTTCATGACTTTTTTTGAGTTAAAAAAGTGGCTTGAAGTATGCTACTTTTCAACCTTTTAAACTATCAACTATTTAAAAATAAAAATATAATTTTTTGTTTTAGGTTACTTGTGTAGTACCTCTGGATTCTATTATTTAACTGTGACTTACCCAATAATGCTAAAACTAAGTTGGCTTGATTCACATATTAAATATCACATTATGTACCTGATAAATAATTGCTATAAAATGGCAATGAGAACTTTTTAAATAATGAGTGAGGTAGTAAAAACTAAAATAATAATTAATAATAATAATTATTATTATTATTTATTTTGCAAATGAATGATAAACCAGATAAAATCTTAAATTATAAGTGTAGTTCTCTAAAAAACTAAAATATAACCTTTCATGTTTTTTTTGTTTGTTTTTGTTTTTAGAAATTATGCCTAGAAACAATATTTCTACATCGTGTTTATTTGTTTTACCAACCTTTTTTTTCTTTCCATTTTCAAAATCTATGTTAAGCTTTCAAAACTTATTTTTGAAATTTAAAATTTGACCAAATATTCAAATGTATTTTTAAGGAAGAGATAAAAAATAAAATATAGCTACTAAAACCAGAAAATTAAAAATGAAATGGCATAAGTGATTATCCAACGAATAAAAACTTAAACAGTATTAAATGTCATCATGTAAGCTCATCCACTAGATTATCCTATTTAAAAATAGTTGTCACATCCCGATTGCTCTTTCTAATTTTGTCACGTTTGAATTTTTTTAATAATTATAAAAAATTATTTGGTCATTAAATTTTGGAATGTCAAAGCAGCAAAAAGAAACAATCATAATCCCTTTGGTCCGCATGCAGAGTTTATCTCAGCACATTCGTCACCGCCACTTTCCTCCTTTACCACTATACTTTCAAATTTGGTCTTCAATATGTTAAGTTCTTTTTAATTTATTCTACTATATTTAAAACAATTTTAATTAAATATTATTGACGTTGGATTCTAACTTGCGCGACACATCAAAAGTAATTTGAGGTGGACTCTGATGCAAGCTTAACTAGAAGCTGAAAATCAAAAAATCGAACCTTACTCTATTATGGGTACTCGATCATGTACACTCCAAAACTTAAATTAGTATTTAGTTTGAGCTGTATCCAACTAAGCTTGAGTTCAAAGCAAAGAGTTTTCATAATTTTTAGGAGTGTCTCCACCTTTATTATAGGAGAAGTTTTTGAAAATGCGAATATGAAATTATGGCACCCATCTATGTCCTTTGGTAGATCTTTTGTCGGCAATTAGAAAATCTTCTACTAGTAAAATTCACACTCTGTTGACTTTTAGCGCATTTTCTGACGATCAAAATCCATATTATATCAGTGCCAAGCTGAGCTGCTCTTAGATATATTGACCTTTATTCTTTGTCTTCAACGTAGCTATGAGCTAAGATTCTTCGTCTTTGATGTAGCTATGAGCTAAGATTCAAAAACACATGCTTCTAAAAGAATCAAGTGTTTATACTTAATTTTATCTTTAACAGTACGTACTCGATGATGTAGTTGAAATAAAATAAAATAATGATGACATTTAAAATAGCACTGTTTGTATGTTTATGAATTGACTAAAAGACACCACCAATTTATTCCGTCATCTTAATTTCAATATTATTATGAAGTACTTTTTCAAGTAAAGACTTTAAAAAAATGTTAGAGATAAAAAACAAAAAGTTTTCAAATAAAGGAAAACGAAAGTTCATAGGGTCAAACTAAAAAATAATTTAGTCCAAAGTTATGTTTATCCTAACTTATGAACTTAAAAAATATTTGTATTTTAAAAACATAATTTTCAACCATATCAGTTGACATGCTGACCGCCATTTAAATTTCGACAGTTTTTTAACTCCTTGAAAAACCAAAAAAAGTTTTTGTAATTATTATTTACATTTCCTCTTATATTTACAAAAAATTTTAGTCACAGGTCAGTAAAAATAGGTGATAACTGATTAAGCATTATCCAATCATCCACCCATCAAATCCACTAAGAAGAAGAACTCATATGCTCTCAAGTTACATTCTGATTGGTACAAAAAAAAAAACATTCAAATTTCCAAGTTTGACTGGAATTCCACGTCAGACAAACAAGGTGGCATGCCGCCAAAAAATTATCCCACCCCCACCTCACTTCATAGAATATTCTTTTAATTAAATCGCAAAATTGGAATTCCCACCGATCCCGATGCCACGCGTCAAAGTCTGGTGTCGCGTTGCGGACAAAAATAAATGGCGAGAATATAAAATTGTCGACGTGGATGGATGAGGTGGTCGGATAACAACCACAAGCAATCAATCTTCTCCGCCTAATTCGGTTGCTTTATATTAGTGCTTATCCTAATCTCCAAGATTAAGGGACACGGGGCTGCCTACTACCGCGACGTGGCAACTTCTAATCGCCTTTCTGTCCACCAATCAGCGATCAGGTTTTGGTTCCAGCCAAAAACGAATCACCTAATCACAATTCTATCCCTAGTCCATATCCTATGTAGGGACCATTCTCTTTTGTCCTTCATGTAACTTCCATAATTATCGAGGTCCTAGCTAGTGACTACATCATCTTCTCAATTTATTTTAACTATGATTTTGAATTTTTTTTAACAAGGAATTAGGTGATACTTATCAAATTTTTATTGGTAGTTAATGGTAATTAAGATTCACCGATTAGAAAAGTATTATTCCATTGAAAAGTATGTTAGATGTAATTTTTCTATCAAAATTATTAAAATCCAATCAGATTCAATATTGTGCGGTGCTCGATCCAACACCTTTCGATGCTTAAATCATTACTTAAATCAGAGTAAAATAGGTAGGAAAGCAAAAGATTTGGTGTGCTAAAAGTTAGTGTACCTTGTGGGAGGGTTTTCGCTCTCCTTTTGTGGGTGAAATACACTTGATGGCGTGTCTTCCTGTATCTGGGTTGTACTATCTGCCAGCATGTGGTTAGAGGGTCTCGAAGATCGTTGGATGACGAAATCATTTCTCCGTTGTCGATTGGTGTTTGGTTTTGGAGTTCTCTGCCTTAGATTTTGACACGGGTCATCATATCCTTGGACCAATTGTGTGGGCCCGTATTCCTTGAACTCATTTGAGATCAAGCGAGGCCCACGACCCTAGTGGCCCCCTGTGGTGCAACCACGTAGATGGTGAGACTTTACTCCTAATATAGAGAAATACCCATTTTTCAGCATTGAATGAAATGAGTTTTGAGTCATCCTATATTACATTATTATTTCAAAATTTAATTATTTTTTTTAATACAATACTTGGGTGGCAATTTGAACGAAGATGTTATTATTCTTCATGTATCTAAAGATATCCTCTACTCAATAAATGTCGGAAAATTATTCATGCAAAAATTTCCCATCAAAATTCTTTAAATCAAAGTCTAGAAACGCGGCACTTGTCTAAACGGGTTCTAAACACTTGATTAGCATTAGCATATTAGAATATTTCAAATTTCATTATTCGATTTGGAAAATTTGAGACGATAATTTTTCTTTATCATATGGCTTGATTCGTGGGAATTAAATGGGAAAGAATTGAAAAAAAGGAACAAAAAAAGAAAAACAAAAGAAGACTGGCGAGGTATGAAGAAATTCCCAATTACAAATGTCAAATATTCAAAGAAGATGAAGTGTGAAAGATAAGACCACCAGATGGTTTGGAAATGGCATCTTCTTCCATATTCGGATAAGATTATCATGTCCACAAAGTAATTTAAAAAAAAAAAAAAAAGCCTAAAGAATCATGGGAATGGGAAGGAACTCAAATTTGTTCCTTGTTCTGACAATGAACTTCTTGGAAAGCCGCCAACAATGGAAGATGAAGTCAAAGAACAGACCAATCAAAAACTGCCACTCAGCACAAAACGACAAAACCCACCAAAATAAAAGCCCCATTCATCTCCTTTCCAACATTTCAAACACCTTCATTTTTCCCCTGCTTGCCTTATCCTAATTCCCAACCCATTGCTTCTCCCTCTGTTTTTACTGTTTCATTGATCGTAAAAATCCAAAATCAGACTAGAAATGAAGGACAGGAACTGCAGTGAGCTTCCCCCTGGCTTCAGATTTCACCCAACCGATGAGGAATTGATCATGTTTTACCTCAGAAACCAAGCCACTTCCAAGCCATGCCCCATCTCCATCATCCCAGAAGTTGACATCTACAAATTTGATCCTTGGGATTTGCCTGGTTAGTTCCCAAAAAATTTACCTAAATTTCATAACCCTTTTTCTTATTATGTTGATAAATGAAACGAAACTTGTGCAGAGAAGGCAGATTCCGGCGAAAATGAGTGGTACTTCTTCAGCCCAAGAGACCGGAAATATCCCAACGGCGTGCGGCCGAATCGGGCCGCCGTCTCCGGCTACTGGAAGGCCACCGGCACCGACAAGGCCATTTACAGCGCCTCCAAATACGTGGGAGTAAAAAAAGCTCTTGTTTTTTACAAAGGGAAGCCCCCCAAAGGCATCAAAACTGATTGGATCATGCATGAGTATCGTCTCATTGAATCCAACAAACAAACAACCAAACAAAGAGGATCCATGAGAGTAAGTTTCCTTTTTTCTTTTTCAATTTTCGTCTAGTTGAATTGTTGAAATGAATCAGTTGACTAATGGGTTTTTGTTTTTTGTTTTTGTTTCAGTTGGATGATTGGGTTCTGTGTAGGATCTACAAGAAGCGGCATTCGAACAAGGGGTTGGAGGAAAAAGCAGAGGAATTATCATCAGGAGATCACCAAAACGGTGTCGCAGAAGGCAATGGAGAGCAAGTGATGAAATTTCCAAGGACATTTTCGATCACCCATCTGTTGGATTTGGATTATTTAGGCCCAATTTCTCAGCTTTTCAATGACAATTCCAGCATTAACCCAACTGTTGGGTTTCAAAACGCCACCACAACCCATACAAATGTTGGGAAAACAGAGCCAGGGGAAATGGCATTTGATTACTCTGCTTCAGCAGATTTCCAATATGTCAATCACAATCACAACAACAACAACTTCTTTAACCAACCCGTATTCGTCAATCCTGCCTTCGATTGGAATGGCTTGGGCCGCTGAAGAGCAAAATACAAAAAACAACACCATGAAAGAAAGAAACACGACACAAAATTACTTGGAAGAAGAAAAAGGGAAAATTTGTGAATATTGTTTGTTAAAGGGTTTAGGTTTGATGTCTTTACACGACGAATTCAAGAAAGTGACAGTTTCCAGTATAGATTCAATGTGCAGAGATTCTGTGTAATTAGTTGATTGATTTACACCTTCTTCAATTTTAGCTCTATTTCCTTTTTTCTTTGGAAAAATTTTAATGGGTCTAGGTTCAGGCCAATTTGTTTACGGAAGCCATCGGCATTTGACAAGGTGTTGCTTATCCAAAACGACAAGTCGGCAACGGCGAGAGACAGATAATAATAGTAATAATTATTATTAATAATGGAAAAGGAAAATAGAAAGGTCAAAAGAAGCGCGTGGAAAGTGGTGGAGAATGAACTTGTTCGAAACGAGATAAAAAGTTAGATTAGATGTTATTTTATTATTATTGTTATTTTTAAATTTAGTGCGATTTACATCATAAGGTTGAATTGAATGAGAATGAGTCATTTTAATTATTAAATTATTGAATAATCATCGCCTAAACTGGTGGAGTTTGAGTTAATTTGTCGGGATATGCGTTACAAAAAGCCTTCTACTATATTCTATACTGTGGGCGAAGTTAAGGAAACATGATTTAGCTACTTGTTTTAGTTTTAAAATGGTTTAAATAATATTTTTATCAGTATTTTTTATTCATTTATTTTGATCATTGGAAATGTTCATGTTTTTTAGTACGACATGGGTGGATGTTCATATTTTTTAGTGCAACATGTGGGAGTGGGAGATCAAACTCACAACCTCTTGGTTTGAGATATATGCTAATCATCGTTAAACTATATTCGCTTTGGCTTGAAATATTCATTTTAATTTATATACATTCAATTTTGTTCATTTTGATCCATGTATTTTAGGTTCCTTTAATACAAATTTGTGGCTACGTTCCATTTATCATCGCGATATGTGTCAAGTGAAACGGTAGTGATGTATGCATCTAAGGTATTCTAACATATCGGTAGACTTGAACATCATTCCCACTTGACCAAATTACTTCGATTAGGCACACGCCATCGATGAAGTAACATTAACGAAAAAATAATCAATTGGAAAGCAATAGTCATGTTTTTGATCCTCCAATCTACAAACAAAATATATCATTTGATCCGGCCTTTACCAACTAGCCAAAATTTTATAAAATGTATAATGGATAGATTACCTCAAGAAATTTAGTGAGTGAAATGTCGTGTTAAAATTTTTTATCAAAATTAAAATGAATGGATAGATCAAGATAGTCACTTTTCAAAACTATAGGGTCAAATGAAATGTTTCAAAATATATTGAGAGGACATAAAATAAATAAAAATAAAATTTTAGAGAGAAAAATGGTATTTAAACGGATAAAATTTTATTAATATCTTACACTTTTAATATTTCAATTTAATTATTTTGTAAAAGATATAATACTTGAATTTGAGTTCTCACATGGCGTAACTTCTTAAAGTAATGTGATTTCTTGCTCTGTTTAAATGCTTTGGAACTCATATTGTGGCAAAGTCCATTTAGATTTTCAAGGTTGCAAATTTGACTTGTATATTTTCTCATCGTAGCTTAAATTAAAAGAGGAAAACTACATTGGAGAAAGTGAAGGTATTTCATGACAATTTTGTCAAAAATCACGAGTAACATTTGAATAAAATATTATATTTAAAGATTAAATTGTTTGTGATTTTATTTTTTAAATGGCAAGGATATTAGACTAAATTATTGTTCTTATACCTATGCTTCTCCATTTTCTACAGGTCATATGCACTTTTGCAACTATTAGGTGATCCACAGTGGACCAAATTTCATATATATATTTTTTTAATAAAGTAATTCTAAAGGTTAATGAATAATCAATTCAAAGGTTGGAGAGCCATATGTTTTGGAGTACGACATGTATATAAATTGAACTCTAAATTTTATGAGATGCGTGGATACTTAATATATATATATCATTAGTTAGGATATCAAAATTATCGATGAAGTTTGACATTAATTCACTAATCAAAACTTTTCTCGACAGGTCCCCTTCAATTTAAGAATTAGGGAAGCGTTTACCTTTTCTCAAATATCATTAATTAATTTTCATTAAGTGAAAATTTGAATCTAAACATGGTCCAATCTTATTTAGTTGAGTCTAGGTCATTTATTGCTATTCTATTTAGTAAGCAATGACATAATCAACAAAAGATATCTCCTCTAACTCATTTAATCTCATATTTTTTCCCTATAGACAGGATATTGTGTGAAAAACAACACTATTTCAGCCCACGGAATAAAATCTACAAACTTAAGTGATGATTTACTTATAAAAAACCACCTCATAAGTTTGATCTTTTTTCTTGTCTAACTTATAATATCGAAACCATTTATAAAGGTTAAAAATGAAATATTGAATTTTGTAATTGATATCTTGCCGAACAATAAGTTATAACATATGTCATCGTTATTATTATATTTTTAGAATACAAATGTGGAATTAGATTCAATCCTACGTATGTGTTAAACATATAAAATATAAAGACATTTGAAATGAGTAGATTCAAAAAAATTTATTTGCTTTTATTTATTGTTTGTTTGTTTATGATTATACAATCTCACAACTAGGGGAGTGGGGTTTAAGACAAATTTTTGGCATAAGGTTTATTATTTAAAGGATTGCAAGAATATTCATGATGGGCGTCGAGAAATAGACGTAGCCGAGATACTAATCAAGAGTATCAAAGCAAAGACTGCACCGAAAGAGCCAATTAAAGATCCAGAAATGTGCTGACAGAAGGAGTTGAATTGGGTGCAAAACGAAACCCAATTAGCAGCATCATTGCCTCGATAAGCCAAGTAGACCACCGACGCTGCTGCCGATGCGCCAGCAGCCACAAGCGCCATCGCCATCTTTCATTGCATTTAAACGCCACAAGCATCACACAATCAGAGTTAGAATTATGCACAACTAATTAACAAAAAAAAAAAAAAGGTAAAAATCAATATGTCAAAGTATTATACAGCAGCAGGGGCACGATGTTCCGTTTCTGCAGACGATCGGGACATAGTGAATTGTTTCTTGGATTTCCAGGCAATCAAGGAATCACCAAGGAAGACACAAAATCCAGAAACAGATAATCGAGTGTCTAAATAGGCTACCCAATCAACATCTTAAATTGATGAGTTGGGTAAATTTAATTCATATATTGGATATCTAACACTCCCCCTCACTCGTGGGTTTGGACAATTACATCAAGACCCAACAAGTGGGAATCAGGGAGGAGGAAATAACAATGCAGGGTTCGAACACAAGACTTCCTGCTCTGATATCATATTTTCGTCACGAGAGAGAGAAAAAATGAGTGATTTTATTAATATCACCTCAAAATATATACAACTTATTTCTCTCCTATAAATACAGAATTAGGAAGTAACCATACGGCTAACCAACCAAACTAAACCAAAATAAGTTGAATAACCAACTTCAGTTACATGTTCCTAATAAATATTAATAAACAATTAAATTTCTCGTAACTCATTAGCTTAAACTTTTGTGTTCAATGAAGATTTAACAATGGTATCAAAATAGGAAGTTTGGTGTGATTTCTACTTGTTAGCCAACTTTTAAACTTAGAGTGATTTAACACTCTTCACGCACTAATTAAATCTTACCGTGTCAAAAGTGAGCAAGATGAGCCGTGGGGTGACTGCAGCAACTTCCACCATTTGGAAGATGGATAGTGGAAGACAAAGAAAGAGGTACCCACAAACTATGGAATTTGCCATCACAAAGAACCTGTAATTACATCAAATTATAGTTTCTGTATCAGTTTATATCAGAAAGTGAATAAGTTCTTACGTAAAGGTGGGAAGATCTTTGTAGTCTGCTTTGAATTGAGAAGACTGCGTAGAAAATGGCAGAGTTTGATTGGCTGTGGCCATCACAACTGCACTGCTCAGTGTTGCCATGGCTGCCATTACTCTCAGCACTAAGTCCACTATGGACAGCCTCCTCTGCGCTCCTTCCCCAATAGGGTTGCAGCGTTTTGGACCATTCTCCTCAACTGATGATTTTGCCTTCATCTCCCTTTCCATATTTTTCTAATAACATCAAAACACAAAACAAAATCTCAATTCTAACTTCAATTTATTTGGAGTTCTTTAATTGTCCAAGGGTTAAGAGACAAACAAAAGTGGATATTAGGTGAATTTCTGATGACGTTTCAAGTTTCTATATGATCTAAGCTGTATTACACGTGTCGTCGTGCGGTTGGATGTGATGGGCCAGCTTGGCTGTTTTCTTTTTGAAGTTATTCTACCTGCTCGCTCCAGATAAGTTAATATCTTCAGTATTTTAATCAAGTTACTTAAATCAATAGATTGATTCTTTTAGGGAAAATGACATGAATAGCCTTCTCAAGAGAATTTTTTTATTTAGATAACCCACCTCTCAAAATATGTTTTCAACGGTCCACTAGTGACTTTTCTAATGTTTCAGTGGTAGTAAATGTACCCAACTACCCCTCGCAAACAAATTGAATTCTCGGGTGAGATCGTTACTTTCTCGAGCGAAATCTGAGGAAAATAACAAGATAATGAAATTATGGGCGAGACTTCCGCGAGAAATGGACTGAACTATATTAATTTCCCGGCCGTGAACTACAACTATCCCGCTCGAGATATGAAGTTATTTGGTTGACCTACATTAATTTCACGTCCGTGAAATGCCTCTGTTTCGCCCATGAATTGAATTTTTTCAATAAAGGAAACACCTAACTGAAAATATTCCCACGAATGACTTTACTTTTCATCAGTGCATCTTGTACTAAGCTCTCAGACAACAAAAAGAATTACGTACCTGTAAATTACCTCATACTTTTCTATCTGAAAGTGATATTTTTCTACATGAACGAGGTAGGTGTTATTTATTTTGAAGAACATGTTTTGTCTTCATCTATGAACTCGCACATTTGCATCTCTAGCTTTTGTATAATTTTATTTTTTTAGCTTTCATCTTCTATTGAAACGTAGTGTGGTATGGGTGAAACAATTTGTTTGTTCTGGTTGTTCTAACTGTTTCTGAGCCATTTTTGAACCATTCTCGGGCGAAAATAATAGCATTCACGCCCGAGATGTATAAGCATCACGTTCGAGAATTTACATGTTTTCGCCCGTGAATTCTGGTAATTTCACCTTGAATTAACTTGTTCGTTCGTGATGCAGGATGCCTCGTCTCTTTATTAGCTATGGTGGTATGTGGAATGAGTCTCAATCTGTATATGAAGGTGGGATTATGGGAGGTTTAGATGTGGACAATAGTATAACGTACGATGGGCTCATAAGTGCCATGTTCATGCTTACTAGAATTGATCGGGACCAGTTCAACATCTTGATACGTTGTGTATACCTATTCAAGCCCCAGTATCAGGTTCCACAGTATTATATATTCGATGATTATAGTCTCAGATTTTTTTTAAGAGGGCCACCACCTCCATCTGAAGTCCTAGGTAAACAATTGATACCTTGAACGCATCGAAGTCATCCTCAAACTGGGCGGCTATGTACAATTTTTCTAACTCACTCAAGACAATGTTCGTCCTATCGTTAAAGTACAGGGCCCTAAGTCTACGAGGATGTGTAACTTTCCTAACTGGGTTCCTGTCATAGTGTAGGCCACTAATAAGGTCAAACTCCCTCCGTCCAAACGACACCTTCCTCCCAAAAAGGTTGAAACTAATCGTGTTCGGTGTACTATCCTCAACCTCCCTAAGTAAGATATTGTGTATCAACGGTCCGTTAAAAACGAGGTCCACGTCCAGCAGATGACCGAAAATAGTTTTCCTAAACATGGCTAGCTGTCTAGGGGTGAGTTTTTCCTTAATATCAGTGTCTGTCTTCGCTAGGTGCGATAAAAAGGTCACGTTTGCAGAGGCAAATATTGCAGGGTCAATTTTCGGTCTCATTTCCATACTTTCAACCTGAATACGAGTAAAAACATAATTGAATATGATAGCCATACAACCATAAGCAAGAAATAAAAAACAAAAACAAAAAAACAAAAAGAAGCCAGTGGTCAAGCAATGTTCTGTCTTAATTCTCGGGGGCAATCTCGCTCGACATCGGGTTAACTACAATTTCTCGTGTCGAAAAAAAATCAATACATGAATACTCAATTTCTCGTGCCAATCCAGGGCGAGATACCCCGAGAAATAACATATAAAACTTAGCGCGCGAGATAAAATGAGAAAGCATGCGACGGAAATATTGCTTCTGGTAAATTTCTCGGGTTACTTTCGCCCGAGAATACCCCGAGAAATTTACCAGAAACAGTACACCACATCTGAATTTCCCGGGGCACCTTGAACGAGATGCTTCGATGTAGTTAAATCACCCCCGAGGTACCCCGAGAAATCTCCACGAGAACTAAAACCCAGAAATCCGAATTAGCCCGTAAACTTGTCAAAACCAAATCAATTCGCCCTAAATAATTTCAAAAACCTAATCAATCCGCCCTAAATCGCCTGAAACCCACATAAATGTTCAAACTTAAACCCTAAACCCACAACGTCAAACAAGAACCCCACAACGAAATTAAACAAGAACACCACAGTGATTAAGTGTAAGTTTAGTGAAATCCTAACCTTGATTTCGCGGGCGAGGCGCAGACGAAGGAGTTAAACAATCCGCGAAGAAGGCGTTCAATAGCACGCACAATAAGAGAAAAAGGGGGAAACGAAGAGGAAGAAGCGCACGAACGTAAGCTTCAAGCAGCACAGACGAGAAAGATGAAGAGAGGAAGAAGGGGAAGAAGTTGAAAAGCACGAGAAATATGAAGAGAGGAAGAAGGGGAAGAAGTTGAAACGCACGAGAAAGACGAAGAGAGGGAAACGAAAAAGCAACCGTTGTTTTTTAATTGAGGGCATAAACGTAATTTCATCATTTTTAAATTCATTAAAATAATATGGTGGTCCATTCAAAACAATTTTGTAGGAAGGGGTTATTCGAGCAAAAAGTTTATTTAGGAGGGTCATTCATGTCATTTTCCCATTCTTTTATGTGCACTTTTTTGCATAGGGGGAATCACACCTATTATTTTGTAATTTTAGTTGTCAAGGACAACGCGTACTTCCAAGTATCTCTACAATGATATGATATTATCTGTTTTGGGTATAGTCCTCACGTCTTTTCTTATATATAGTCTCGTTCAAATTAAACAGTCTCATACCAGTGAAGGTAATTGTCCTCATCTATATACCATGTATCATTCTCTTCTCTAACCCAATTGCATACTTTACAAATCCAACATTAGTGACACTTGAAGTGTGAATTGAGTTTAGAGTGAGTTTTTGGCTTCATAAGCCTAATGGAGGAAGTTGTTGTCAAACTTGGTTTAATTAGAGAAACTAGCCTGAGCGCTCACTATTCAAGTCCCATAACCAAAAATTTCCTAGCCTCGGGCTCTTTCAACTTGCACTCACAATACATATTTTCTAAACTGGATTTAAACTCTCATGTTAAGAATCCCACATTGAAAAGAGAGGGAATCTAACATAGGTTTATAATAAATATGGACTACTCCTCTCATTGTCAATTGATTTTGAGACGCAACCTCATTAACTCAGCTGTTACAAATACTTTTCCGTAAAGGACTTTTAAGTATTTTTCTTATTTCTTTCCAAAAAACACTTTTATATTACTCCTAAGATGATTTTGGAGGAGAAATTCTTTCCTAATTGCTTTTCTTGAAACCTACTTTATGTTATTTTATGTGATTTTTTAAAACTAAAAACATTATCCCTAGTATCACACAGTTTCACATTTAATTTTAAGAAAGAAATGAAAAGGATCTCGGGATGGAAAACTCAGTTGGGCCCAAAATGAAAAAAGCCCAATAATCAGGATGGAGGAGCAGCCCAGATTTTGCGGCCCACGAGGATCACCACCCACCACGCGCTCTGATCTCATGCAATTCGCGTAATTTCTAGGCTTTGTTTGGTTGGTGATTACAACACTGTTCAATGAGACTGTCGATTTAGGCAGCGGGGAGATCAGTTTACACCGGTTTTGCTTCTGCTCCGTTCTCGGATTCTCCGCTTCCAATTTATCCGTCACTTTTGATTGGGATCTCTCGTCTCTGATCACGTAAGTCACTTATATCTACGCCTTCTTCCGATTTTGGATCTTGACTTACAACAACGCTTATCAATCAAATGACTGAGAATCCAGTTTTGTTCACTGGATCGTTTTCTTGTATTGCCACCGTCCATTCATTTCATTTGCTCTCTGGAACTTCATTTGTTTGTTAAATATGATAATTGTTTCTAGCAGGTGAAGTTCCTATTGTTTTACATTTTCCTCCATTAATGAATCAGATTAGTTTCGTTCAGACGGGGGCAATGATATTGGGGTGAATGTTTTGAATTCTGACTTTTGTTCGTTTTTATTAAATACGTGATCAAATGTGCTACGTATGATTCTGTAAGCTTTAAATCCGCTAGGGATGATTCTGGGAACTGTACGATTGACAGAGCATCATAACTCCAAATCTGTTTCTGATTTGAGTCACCATTTTTTTGGGGGAGGGTTAATAATGTTACGATAGAAGCTTTCTCTTTGTCGTTTTCTCCTAGGTTTCGTATTTGGTTGAAATAAGCCGCTTTATCAGACTTCTGTGTAAAGTCGAGCACTTGGACCAATTACATAATGTCGGCTACTGGAAAGTATAATATTTTGAATTGATTTGGACCCGGATGTATAATTATTTTGATGTGCTCCAGTTAAATTTTCGAGGAATCATGGAATTTTGGTATGAAGTGGACTCTATCAAAGGGCGCTTTACTTGTGGAATGTTCTTACCGTATTTGAATGCTTTAGTCCGTGATTGCAGGGAAATTATTTTTGAACAATCTTTTTGACTTATCTTGCAGTTATTTACCGTTCACCTATAGTCCTTGTAACGAAGGGGAACAATGTCAGAAAAAAATATCGAGGATGTAAAGGAGCAAGTCATTGCCGATACTTCCCCCCAAAATCAAGATCATTGCGACAAATCTGTGGAAGAAATGTCTGTATTTATGGTGCAGCAAGAGGTTAGTGCTATTTCTGTATTTATGGTGTGGTTTTCTTGTGTCTGTCTGTCATCTTGTTCCGTCGTTGGTGAATTTTAAATCCTGTGTGTTTGAAATGTAATATTTGTTGTTGCCTTCGTTCTCTGTATGATTAAGGTCCATAGAAAGAAATTTTTATGAAAATACTAAAACGGGAAAGTCTCTGATTTTTATGCTAAGATTTGGATTTTGGAAGTAGCTTTTACTTGTCTTTGCATAAAGCTCACCATAAAGGGGAAAAGATAAAATAAAAATAGCCTTGATGGGGCAAGAGGGAAAATGTTTTTTCCTGTCTTGGGTCCAGTTTTTAATTGTGTGTATGCAATCGCAGGAATTTGTCTCAACTTTCCCAGCAGTTGTTTTGGTCATGAGGTGTCACTAAGGTTTTGTCATAATTTGTTTGCTAACAGTCTAATAATGGTTATTATTAAACAGGAGGAGATCATCAAGAAGAAGTACGGAGGCATAGTGCCAAAAAAGCCTCCTTTGATATCAAAAGTAACTATTTGCTGTCTTTCAGCTACCCTTTTGAGATATTAGTTTCATAATTTCATTCAAGTCCTATATTGTGACAACTGCAAATGCTCCTTTTATCTAGGACCATGAACGTGCCTTTTTCGATTCTGCTGATTGGGCATTAGGGAAGGTACTCATTTAGATTTTACTTGGACTTAACTGTGGTCGGGCGCTGAAAATTATCTGGACTACAAAATTTTGATGTTGATTGGATGTCCAAGTTTGATGCTTATGCCTTGTCTAACCACTCTTTTGACTTCTGTAACAGCAAGGAGCACAAAAACCTAAAGGACCACTTGAAGCACTCAGGCCAAAGTTGCAGGTGCGTGATGTTTAATAATAGTGGGCTATCTTTGTCTGTTTCATCATCATACCTGACGTAACTTTTAAATATTTAAATCTGTAAGTATACTTTTGCTCTTTAGTAATAGTTTATTAGCTGTTAACCAGCAGTTGATATCCACCCACTTGCTTAATGTTGATAAAAATCTCTAATGTGAGGTTGATTGAGGGATTGTCTTCCCGAAAACACCTGATACTTTAGTCAGATAATATAATCTCACTAATAACCATAGCTGGATTTTGTCTTCCAAACTCTCTTTCCTGTATGTGATCAAAAAGTGAAAGACCACTTGGATTTCCAAATGGTTGTAAATTCGGAAGTGATTACCTGCAGGTTATTACGTACGTCTTTGTTTAAAAGTGTTGTGGCTATTATGCTGTTTCTAATATTTGCTGATTTTTTATTACCATTGTTGTTATAATCAGCCAACCCCACATCAGCAAGTTCGTTCAAGGCGCTCGGCTTATGCTCCTGCAGATGAAGGTGAAGGTATGAGCCACAGGCTCTCAATTTTTACCGCTAAGGCTTCTAACTTTTGACAGCAAATGATAAATATTTCGCTTCGATTTCCTGTTCTCAGCAGGGAATGATGGCAACATCGACCCCGCTGCCGAGGATCAGCAATCCACAATAGACAGTGGCAGCAATGACCATGTTCCCGAGGAGAAAGTGTGCAAGGAATAACTATGTGAACGAGAGCACTTGATCTACTTCTCTAGACTGAGCAGCATTCTCTGACGGTTCGTGAATGATGCCAATAAGTGAAACATGCTGAATTTATAAGCTTCACTTGTTATGATGGAGATCATGCTATGTGGGATGATGTAATGCTTCATATGCTTTTTAAAGTTATGAATTCAATCCTTGGATTGCGTTCGAGAATTATTTACAATCTTATAGCTGGCTCTTGCTGGCCCAAGTGCATTCAATACAGCAATATAATACCTTCTGTTATGAGGCAGAATTTATACCCACCAAATTTTCCTATCTCCATTTCTTGCTCGTTTCATAATCCCAAGTGTTGGATTCTTTTAAAGAGAATTTGAATAAAAAAGTTCGGGTTTTTAGGAGAGAATTTATATTCTGAATTTCTCTTCGTCACTGATAATGAATGGGAGCAGCAGATATTTCTGAAAGTACAATAGATTTCAGATTTTTATTTCTTTTACCGAAATTCGACAATCACACACGAAGGCCGGGTGTCAATAACTGGGCCGAATCAGGCTCCAAAAAGGTTGGGGAAAATAATCAAGCAGCATGATCCTTAACGCCTCTCCAGCAACTTCAGTCATCTTCTCCAAACACAATGATCCTCCACAAACCAGACCATCGCCGACCGAGAGCAAGCCAACGGAGGTGCCGCCATTGGTGCGTTCGTTTTGCGCCAACGAATCTTGCATGTGTGGAAGGAGGCGCTTCATTGAAGCAGCAGCAGCGACATCTCTGTTCCCGCTATGTCCTTCAATGGCTTCTTCCGATTCATCTTCTGACTATACTGTGCGTATCTTCTTTCAAGGAAATTCATGGGGGTTTTCTTTTTCTCCCTAAATCAATAACCACATGTTTCTTATCTAATTTCCCCATAAAGCCCTGATGATAAGGTTCATTGGTTTTGTGTCCAGGCTATATTGAACCGGGTTCATCCTCCCAAGCCAGACTGGTACGAGGATTTCTACGCGTCAGTTCTGGCTAATGGCATGAAACCCTATGAAGCAGAGGTTGGAGCCAACTTACGTTGCATTTGATTGGAACTTGCGAACTGCTATGCTAACATTGTTGCAATTTTTTTGCTATCTTTTTTGTTTGGTCAGATTGCGGATTACAAGTCCCAGATATTTGCCAATTTGAGAGGAAAGGCCCAGAAAGTCTTGGAGATTGGAATCGGGGCAGGTCCCAATCTTAAGTGTTACGGGGATGAAGGTATGAGGGTTTATGGTATGCACCCAAATAAAAAGATGGAGAAATATGCTCGGGAAGCAGCATTGAATGCTGGCCTGCCACCTGAGAATTTCGAGTTTAAACAAGCTGTATGTCACTTTATAAACTCTGCAGTTCGTTATTGAACTTCATTGAATTATTGCATGGCATATGTGATTGAATAAAAATCGTGCAGTTTCTTCATGTTCTTGTCTTTGTTACTGAATGTGAAAGCATTTCTAGTTTAGGTAAATTTGAGTCATGAAGCATTCCAGTTGGTATGAATGGGTTCGACAAATCTGATGGCTGGGGTCACTTCCATTGTCTTTTCAGTAAAGTTTTATGCCTTTTTACATAATTTGTTTGCTAAGGAATGTTTGTGTCTCTGAGATCGTGAAGTAATTGGATGCTGAAGTAATATCTTCATCTTAAATAGTCGCATCTTTAGAATTAGAAGTTATCAATTTGTAACTAAGCCAATTTTCCTTTAGTTGCTTCAACTAAGTTTGTTTTAGACATATGTTAGATGTTTTCTCTAAAAGCATTTAAAAGTACTTTTTGAAGGTTTCTGGGGATCGGATCATATATACTTATTCATGCTTTCGACATAAAAATTTGAAGAAGTGTTTTTAATTAGTTGAAAAGTACTTATAATATGTTGAAAAATACCTCCAAACACACTGTTATTTCTAATAGTTTAGCGCTCACACAGAGTTGGTTGTGCTTTCAAGATTATTTTCTTGGAAGTATGAAGTTTACTCACTATTTGGAATTTTGGATTTACCAATATTTGGTTTTCAATTAGGTCGGGGAGGCTATACCATTACCCGATGCTTCTGTCGATGCTGTTGTTGGGACACTTGTCTTATGTTCTGTGATGAATGTTGACATGGCTCTTAAGGGTACTACCTTCTTTTCATTGTGATGTAGTTTGGTAGAGACTCTGACATCCATTGGTTAAATAACCAGTGTTTCCCAAACCGAAAACTTAAGATTGAGACTTCATGCCTGACTTCCTTGAACTTTGATAGAAAATCCTGAGCTCCCCCCAGTAAGCTGAGAATTGACTTTGCTTCTGCTCTTTGGCAGTCTATCGATTGCTTGATTGACAATAGCATAACAAAGTATACTTGCTTAAGAATTCAGGCTCAGAAGAAAAACCATATATATAGATAATATCTGTATATCAATATATTGGTTAACTTAGCTTGATTTCCTTCACATAATGATAAGATATAAGAGTGGGCTTATGCAGTCGAAAACAAAGCCATTTCCTCTGGGTAATGATAGATCAAAACAAATGAAACTATGCTACTAACACTAGTCTGACTCTCATCTTCTTTTACTATTAGACTGTCTGATAGACCGAAATTCCTCGATAGGACTATTATAGGGGGTAAAGAAATATTTTTCTGCGTTTTTGTATGAATTTACCCAACTTATGATTGTATGAATCTCACCAAGGTACATTTCATTTGGTGTGGTGTGCAGAGGTGAAGAGGGTTTTGAGACCCGGTGGACTTTACGTATTTGTTGAACATGTGGCTGCAGAAGGTATTATACCAAATCTCGCCAATTCATTGGTTCCATAAAACCATGTGTTTGTATGTAATATAATCAATTGAGCATTGTTATTCTTTTGTTGTTGTGTCGATGTAGAAGGAACCGTGCTTCGATTAATACAGGATGTGCTTGATCCTCTGCAGCAGATAGTTGCTGATGGATGTCACCTTACCCGCAGGACAGGGCAAGATATAAGCAAAGCAGGGTTTTCAAACGTTGATCTACACATGGCTTCCTTCTCCAATGCCGCCTTCATAAATCCTCAAGTTTATGGAGTGGCTTATAGATGACCAGAAATGGAACTTCCCATTTTCACTCAGTATCCTCTTTCATTGTCTTCTTCTATGTTTTTTTTTCCCTCTTCTCTGCAGGCCAATGAGCCTGAATATTCACATCTTAAGCTTCTGCAAAACCATTTTTCCTGTTCCAGTTCTTACTTAAGTGCATAAAATATTAACCTTCTTGTTCATGATGCATCTCCTCAGCTACACCATATATTGATTTTTTTTTTTGTTTGGAGATCTCTACATTGTTTTGATGTCAGGAAGTGAATTATGGGTTCAATCCTGTTTGAACAACCATGTTGATAATTTGTTTTAGCCAAGCCGGTGCCATTACCCAAAAAACCCAACATTAGCAGCTCGGGTAGAATCAAACACCCGAACAAATTCAGGGCTAGACATTACTCTACATGATACTTATTGTGTGGTGGTACATTTCTCATGATGTTTGACATTTGTGTCCCCCGTACCACCTGAGCACTAAGGCCATGTGAGGACGATCAGCGTGGATAATTGCCCCTAAGGCACCGATGGACCAAGGCCTTCGTCTGACAAAAGGCTTGTGTCTAATAGGTTGAGTATCTACTAAGTTTATAAATTTTCAATTTTGTACCTGTCGGTTAGATTTCTAAACTTTTAATTTTGTGCTCAGTAAATCCATAAATTAAAAAAATATCAAATACATTAAAAATTATTAGCCACAAAATTAAAAGTTAAATACGAAAGTTCAGAGATATATTAGATATTTTTTGAAATTCTAGATAATTTAACTCATTTATTTTTTTATTTATTTGAGGAAATTTTTAACTCATTTATTAAAAAGGTGAAAGGTCTCTAATGAATTTTTTTTCAATGAATAATGAAGATTTTTTAAAATCAATAATGTGGCTCACGATGCATATTTGGCTTGTCCTTGTACATAATTAATTATGGTACGGTTACGTGTTTTATAATAGAGGTTGAATACTTATGACAGAGTTGGTAAATATGCATTCAATTTCCTTATGATTATTAATGCAATTATTGGTAGGTCTTCCTCAACTAATAAATACAACAATCATGGGCTTAAAAAAAACTCCCTTTTTTTATTTCATTAAACTACAATAATTGTAATCTTTATTTCAATGTATTTTTTTTTTAAATACAAATCTACATCATGGTCCAAAAAGTATTTAATACCATTAAATGGGCAGCTTTGTTTGTTTTACATGCAAATGATTACTTTAATGGCAAAAGTTAGGACATATTAGTTTCCCAAAATAATAAAAGTAGAATATATTCTATTCCTTGATATTGGAGACTCGTGTGAGGACTTAACTGCAAAATTCCGAAATTTAGAGGGTGTTTAAACCAATTTTCTGCAACATCGACACCTTCGTGCGAAAAGTTCTTAATCCCTTTCTGTGTTCGTGAGCTCACAGTCACGGTCCCTCTCTCCGTCTCCGACAAACTAGGGTTTTCCTTCCGTTCAGACAGCTGGTCGCTGGTGTCGCACAGACTTTTCTGCACAATCGGTGCTGCTTGTGCTTATTCTCTCTCTTTTCTGTCCCTAAAAATGTAAGCTTTCTTTCGCCCTTTTTTGGTTTCTCAAAGCAATGTTTAATTCGTCCTTTGTTCTGGGGTACTGTTTTGATTTTTCCCCTAAATTTAGGCATTTTTTCCCAGGATTCTTTATGTTACAAGTCTGGAATGCTTTCTTCCTTTTGTTTGTTTTCTCTCTTCTTTGTTCCTCTTCTTTCTGCTTGAATAGTTTTCCTTTTCTAGTGCACTGTGTGTCAGGTTGTGATAGATTCTTGTTTATTTCGCCTTAAAATTTCTAATTCTAGCTTCGTAGATATCATTTATGATGGTTGTTGTACATATATATAGTTCCAGGAGACTCAGCAGTTAGCCTGTTGACCTCTGATTTTTGGTTACATGCTGGGTGTTGTGTTATTTGAATTCACTGTTTGTGTGATCCGTTGCCTGGATGTATGTTCTTTAGCTTATTCAGCTACTTACAGTACCTCATTATTGCTGCATGTGCTCGTTAAATATACATATGGACCTTCTTACTGTTGGCTCGATGTGGTTATTACCTATAATGGGAACGTTTTTTCTGACGGCAGTTGTGCTGTGGCTGCTCGTTGACTTTGTAGGAATATGGGATATAACTGAGTTTGTGCTTGTTACCTGTTACAAAGAGTAAAAGCATATGTGAAACTTTTGAGTAACATTCAGAGGCCATTCACTCAGTGAAGTGTGGGTTTTGATTTCCAAAACTTTGTGTTCCATGATGTAGTTTGTAGCTCGGAAATGTGTTACGTTAAGTCATTTGAGCGGAATGGTTGCTGGTTAATGTTTTAAGAATTGAAGGGAAGCAGAAACGGTCAAAGGGAGCAGATAGCTAAATGGGATCCCTTTGTTGTGTGGCTGCAAGGCCACATGGATCAAATGCTGCTAGCAGGGATTGGTCTATGGGTCCTCACGAGCCTTTCTGGCATACAAATACGAGCTTCTCACCACCTCCTTCACGATGGGATATCCGATTCCAGTCTGAAGGGTTGTCACATGGTTGGCATGATGGCGCGCAACTGTATGGGTCATCTACATCATCAAATAGTAAAGAAAGTCGCAGCTGGATAAGGGGAAACCATCTTTATACTCACAACTCTGCATCTGATGGTGCTGGGTTGTTTTTGAGTAGTCCATCTGACATCTCACAAGGCCCTCAATGGACGCCTCCAGCAATTCAGGAAATCAATGTTGATGGTTATGAAACTTCAACCAAAAGGGGTACTATTACTGTTCGTTATTTTCTGTAGTCATATTATTGTTTCTCATCATCGTGGGTGCATAGGAAACTTCATGGGCACTTGGTAATTTGTGATTAAGTTCAATTTCCTTCTCGTGATTTACATTTCTGGGTAATGGGTTCTAATATAGTAGAGTTGGTACTTTTCTTATTTCATTTAAGTGCTTATCATAGTTTCATCGTTCCATCTAAATGGTTTTTAAGTAAGTGTCTATGTGTGCATGCACACACGTATGGGAGAGATTTTAGTTACAGATTATTGTAGTTTTGTGTGTGTGTGTGTGTGTGTGTGTGTGTGTTTGTTTGCTTTCCTCTTGTGAGTGTGCTGTACCTTTGTGAGAGAATTTTAAGCAGATAACTACAATATCCTCTGTTTAGGGAGGAAGGGAGAAAGGGCGTTTTTTCCAAGCCATAAAATGGGGAATGATTGTCTGATATTTTAAGAGTGGGAAATGTCCTTGATGTGTATCCTTGAGCCTGATTATCCCCACCCTTGAAACTATAACAGTTGAGGCAAGGTTGTGAGCAGTCTGCTCTAGTGAACCGATGTGTAGTTTCTTTTCTGATTTTTTGTTTGCATTTTTCTTGTTTGCACTATTCAAATGTTCCTAAAAGGGAAATACTCTCTTAAAGTCAGTTAGTTTTACCCTACCCCTTGGCCATATTCAACTGGTTTCTTTCTTCCCTAAATGTTCAAGTGAATTTTGCATGAAATTTATGGACAAGTACAAATAAGTGGCATGGCATCCTCTAGCAGCTAGTTCTACCAGTTTAATTTTTCCCTAGTGTTAAAGTTAGTTCATGCATTGATTCCATAAAGTTGTGATGTTGGTTCAAAATCCTAAGTATGTTTTTATAGAAGAATTACCAAAAAAGAAAAAAAGAACCACTAAAGATGTATTTCAAGTAAAGATAAAAAAGAAACAAGCAGCTTAACTGGTGCTTACTAAATAGGTAAATATCGTGTTTCTGTTAAATTTTAAAAGATGTAAACATAAGTGAGATGCTTGTTCTAACTGTTAATGAGCTGACTGTGATTATTTTAAATGCCCAGCTTTTAATTAGAAAACTGCCTTATATATTCTATCTCTGCTCTTAGATGTTCCAAGTTTTTACTTTAAGTTTATTGCTTGCTTATTTTTACATCACTGAGAAGGATGTGGCATACTTAGTGTATAGGATAATGTAGAATCCATCAATATTGGAACTGTTTTTTTTTGTTTCTGCTAATAATATTCATGTTACTCTTCATCAACTGAACTGTTTTATTGTTTCTCTTTCTCCCCAGATCCTTCATTGGTGACACTTTCCTTTAGGCCTGCGGCAGAGGTACTGAATTTCGTATCATCTCCCTGGTACAATGACTAGCATAAAACTAGCAAATTCTAAGTTTTTTTCAATTGCATTTTGCAGGGTACCTCTGAAAATCTGGATAGTGGGAGCTCTACTTTCTCGCATTCAGACAGTAGCGAAACAGAACCGACTGTCAAGTTACGCTCATCCTCTAATTGGAACTTTGCGAGTCGTCGTTCTTTCATGTCCAAACCTATTCATCCTCTTGCCCTTCCTATGCAAACTTCCTCGGGAGAAGCTTTTGAATCCACCAATTTAGGGTTCACTGAGTTTGATTCTCCTACTCCCCAAAGAGACACCCAAGGATGGAGCAGTGCAAGTAGCAGCATTGATTTTGCCGATGTGTCCGAGCCACTTGAATCAGAGATCTACTTTAGATCATCATGTAGATCTGATGGTTTCCGTTGTGGCTTATGCGAAAGATTTCTTTCACAGAGATCGCCATGGAGTTCTCGTCGCATCGTGAGAAGTACTGATATGCCAGTTGCTGGAGTTCTTTCTTGTCGACATGTTTTTCATGCCGAATGCTTGGAGCAGACTACTCCAAAGACACGTAAGAGTGACCCACCATGCCCGCTTTGCTTGAAACATGAGGATGATCATTCACCCGAGCAAAAAGCAAATTCAAGATTGAGGAATGTGAATACGTTACCTAGTAGGCCTAGACCCTCAACCAGCGAGGAGGGGATGCCGAGACTATGGGGTTGTGCTCAGGTAGGAGATTGTGTCGAAGGGGCCTTGCACGCACCTCCACGAAATTCGATGCTTCTAGTTAACCGAAATCGTATAAAGAACCTTTCTTTCAAGGGAAATTCCAGCAAAGAGTTTCCAGGAAAGTTGAAAAGTGGCTCTTTACGATTGGTGAGTGCAAGACCATTTGATCAAGAATTTGTTGGCTGTTCAAGAACTTCAGCTGGACCCAGTATGAAACTGTGATTGAAATATGTAGATAATTCAGATAGAAAAGAAAGAAAAAGGAATTTCAAAGAACTTTTCTTTTCGAATCAGCTTCCCCTGTATTTTTGCTTATTCGTTCCAAATTCTTGAGCTGGGAAAATTTTAGCTTCTCCAGATTACTGATTTACCAATCGATGTATAGTTGAGTTGTGGCATTCCATGATGAACATGAACTGAAAAAAGTACTTTTTTTTTTCCTTCATTTTTCTCCATTTTTCTTCCCCACCTTAACGAATTAAACTCATAATTAATAATTAAGTAATTATCTTTAGAAACTAAAAAAAATCTAGAAATGGGCGTGCGAAGGGAACCATATCATATCCTATTGAATGAGGTAGTGAGCCACTGGATTAAACTGAACTGGGTTACCAGTGGACTATAATTACTTATCAGAAAAGAAAGAATCTAACAGAGAGTACACAAATGACAAAAGAAATTAACACTACTTTTAATAAAATGGCAGTAAAAGCGAATGATTTGTTTGTACTTTGGGTTAAAACCAATCATGACGGAAAAATAAATAACCATGATTAAGCATTGGTTAACCAACAATAAGTAATTATTAATTTACTATTATGCAATTTCATTCTCTCTAGGCAGAATGTAAATCCTAAACCTACCGAGACAAAAATTCCCAAGTACTTGCACTATTATTTAGATAACTAATTGATTTTAAAATAGTTAATTTCATAAATAATATAATTCAAAAAATTTCAAAAATAGTGTAGCTTTCAAAGAAAAAAAATTATATATATATAAATTAAATAAAAAATTATAAAACTAGAGCATATATCTAAATTATTGACAAAATAGGGTAGCTTTTTGTCAAAGTGAAATATCAGTGTATGACCCACACGATTTACGGTTACCACGTATCATCTTATGCAATATGTGATGTGGATTCGAGGCGGTAGAAATTGCATACAACCTACACAATTTAAGTAAAATGGTGTACAAACAAATTGTGCATAATATTGGAAGGAGCACACCACCATGCCAAACACTATACACATAAACAAATGCTTAATTAATTCATAAATGTAAAGAACGCACCACAAACACAAAATTAATCGTATGCGTTGCATGCGACTTCTACGTCGCTCTCATGCGGCGTAAACCGTGGCCAACTACCTTCAGAATTATTTTCAAAATCGGTAATTTGAATTTGTTTCTTAAAATACATTATTAAAAAAGAAGAAGCAATTTCTCCGGAGAAAGGGGATAATCTGCGGAAGCAGCCAAAAATGGGGAAGTGATTGATGGGGGAAAGGAAAAATGGGAAGTGGGGCTTTTAATTTTAAGTTGGCAAATGCAAATGGGGTAAAGCCATGATGTTGTTCACAATTGGACAATATTAACAAATGATTGTGACAAGCATATTCATTTTTTTTTTATTAATACAACATTTTGGAAATACGGTAATCTAACCTCTGGTCTCGAAGAAAAGAATACAGGTGACGCTTGAGCTAGACTTGTTGATAGATTTTGATTTTAATTTTACTATACTCACTCCCACTCTACATCTTTCCCTCTTTCCTCCACTCACATTACTCCAAGGAAAAAATATATATATATAATATGAAAAGGTAAGATATACTTTATTAAAGTTGGGTCACGGAATTTTGGAATTCCCTTTCTCATTTCGAAATAACATCATACAATATTTTAATTCACAACTTCGTGAAAAGGCATTCGAAGTTTTCCAAAACAAATGCTCTTTTCGGTAGAATTGGGAGAGGAAGAGTTAAAAGGAGATGTTTTTTAGAAAAATCTAACCACGTGCCATTGCAAAATTAAAGAATGAAATGAAAGGAGAAAAGGGAATTAATTAGTTTGTTTAGGATCAAAAATAGTTGGCGAAATGAAATGAAAGAGGGAAGATTATATTGGCTTCCAGCAAGCGAGAAGAAAAGGGCCCCTCCTCTCCATTGAGCCACTCTCAATCCAACCTCTAAATTAATCATGTGATTGTGAAAATATATGTTTCCAATTTCTACACTAGTTTTTGTAGGCACCACTCTGAGTAATGAGCTTGCAAAAGTCTGTATATTCCTAGACTCGAGGAAGAAACATGTATACAAACTAATTCTTCGTCATTTCAATTTTCTTTTTTTTATTATTACAACAAATATGGAGTGGTGGAGATTTGAACTTTTGCTCTCGACATAATAAAATTTATGTCTTTATCGTTGAGTATGCTCGTATTAACGTGACTTGTATATGGCATGTTTCAATGAGTCGTGTGGTGTAATGCAATTGGTTGTCTACTTTATGAATTTTATATTTTAATTTCAGGGATATGGAAAAAGCATTGGGTTAGGTTAGGCTTATTTGAAAAGAAATGGATGTGCTTTTGTTGGCTCACTCAGTGCCTTTACAGCACCATTCGTTACCATCTTTTCTGGTTATTTATTTATTTATTATTTTTGTAGATAGAGACTTTTTTTCCTTTTTCCTTTTTCTTTTTGGTATATATACCAAAGAATTTGACAGTTTTTGTGTAGGCCTCTTGTGGTGGAAACCTTTACAACATGAAAGGTAAGCTTTTTCCCCCTTTTCTTTTTTCATTTCTTTTAGTTTTCTTATTTGTTATTTTACACAATTCTCATGTATTTTGGGTCATCTACAAGTCAGGCTTACGCATTTTTTGGTCCACAAAAACTTATAATGATATTTGTGTTTGTTAATTATGGACATATTTGATAAAGTTTCACTTTCTTTCTTTTTTTTAATAAAATGTTTGATAGAGATATAAATTAAAAAGGTTGAAATATTTTGGTAATCCTCTCTTATTTCTCCTTTTCTGGAATTTTAAATTCGAAAAATGGGAGCTGTTTCAATTTTAATTCTAAAAACCATTTACTTTGGCATTTTAGTTTTGTTCACATTTTAAAAAGTCAAATATTATAAAATAGTAATATTGTTTATGTTTGCCTTTTTCAGATAATAATGAAACTAAAATTTTGTGTGTTTAAAATTTGTATGCAAATTGGAGAATATTTTTAATTGAGAAAGAAGTGATATGAAATGAAATAGTTATGAAAACATTCTTTTCGAAAATTTAAAAGAGTTATATTGTGTAAATTTGATCTTTTTTTTTCGTCAAAATGAACATGGTTTAGCGGTAATTGATATATATATCTCTCCAATTAAGATGTTGTGAGTTGAATCCTCCATCTCTATATGTTATATTAAAAATAAAAAATTGACATTTTTGATGTGTTTTTATGTTACATTTTGACTTTGACTTTGATTTATGCTATGATATGTTTTTTTTTAAATTAAAAAAGAGATATAAAATGAAAAGGTTTTATTTATAATTTTATTTTATCTTTTTTTTTAATCATCAAAAAGATATGTATACGTGTGGACATAAAAGGGTAAAAGAAAAAGTAGTTAAATCATACATTGGACTTCCCATGTCATACGTTTGAATTTTTATCATTTCACTTGAAATGGTAAAATTATTTTTTAAAAGAAATATTGTGATGTTTAAACGTTTAAAATGCCTATTTTAATTTTCAATTCTAAAAAGAAATAATTATAGGATTATTATTTATAGTACCAAAGGGATAAAGAATTAATTTTGGGAGTAGAGGTGAAATTGGGTACGCCTTTCAAATGTTTAGGAGTTAGCGTTTTTGTGATGCCGAAAATTAATTGCACATTATTAATTACAGCCCATGCATCGCGTTCTACGTCATTTTTAAATGGCACATTATTATTCTTTTAATGTTCAATTTGACTTTTTCAACTTCTTCATCATAAATTAAATTATGATCCAAGTTCTCGACCTCGATATTTGAAAACAGAGATATATATGAATATAATTCTATCGAAGAAAATGAAATGTTCAGACTCCACACACCCATAAATTTATTGTACTAAAAAAAATATCATTTCTATAGAGTAGTTTTACGATCTTTTACTTTTTTCGGAATAAATAAAAGCATAAATTTTGAATATTTTAATTTAATTCTCAAATCCTAACTATTTGATCATTTAAATTTTTTATAAACTTATATTTAATAATGAAAACAAGAACTTAATCAACTATCTAAGTTTGTTTTTTAATATAATCAAGTGTCTAAATTTGGTATGTAATAAATTAATTTGGGTGTCCATGTGATTCATATTGCTCCTAGTTTTTGCTGCTACAATTAGGGTCGGATCGTCGGCTCCTTTGACTATCTATCATATACACATAAATCGCTTTAAATATTCTCTTTTTTATTTTTAGTTACGATTGAATGACTGACTAAAATTAATTTTATAAGTTCAATTATTTTTAGTAAAATAAACACTTCAACTTTTAATCTCAAAGAAAGTATAGATTAAAAATTTTAGATGAAAGGTTAATGAACAAATTTTGGTCTTTATTAATAACAAAAGCCTGCTTACTTTTATATATATTTTTTAAGTTAAATATATCTAGAGGTTCTTCATCTGTTAGATAACTTTCTATTTGATTCTTAATGTATAGAAAATTCTATGAAAAAGAAAAATAACCATAATTAGTGATAAATATTTAAAGTTGAATAATCCTTTCGTTTTTAGTTTTTAGTTTTTACAACTTATATTTATACTCATAATTAATGTTTTTTATTTTTCAAATGACTGAATTATTGTTTTGGCGTAGGTAAATTTATGGAACTTAAAATTTATCTTATTCTACAAGTATAGTTATTCGAACTCGAGACAGCAACGACAACACACACCCTTAACACATTTAAAATAGATTTGATATATAAATCATTCAAACACTTGTAAATATTCTGACAAAAGTAAAAATATTCGGCCAAAAGCTAAGTCATTCTTAATAGTGTTCACAATTCTTTGAAAAAAATTTTGAATTCTTAAGCAAAGTTTAGAAGGAAGAAAAAACACAAGTTATAAAAATTACTTGTTTTAGTTTTCAAGTTGTATATTAGATTTTGAAAATATTTGTAGAAGTAGATAGGAAAAAAAAAGTGATGTTTACTAGTTTAATTTTGAAAAATAAAAAATAAAATTTATTTAATAACTATTCTATATTTATTTTCTATTTTTGAAAAAAAAAACGAAATAATTATAAAAGAAACTTGAATAGTTATTTATTTAGATTTTTCATGAGATAAAGATGACCACCACCCGCAGTAATTAATAAAATAACACCATCTTTGTCGGCAGCATAAAGTTTCACAATGAGAGAAGAAAAAAAACCTACGAGGGCAATAAATAACTAATTTAATTATCTAGCTGGTCTCCTTTACTCCTCTTTACTTCTCTCCCTTCAATAATAATAATAATAAATAATAATAATAATTACAATAATTACAACAACAGTAATTATTAATTACTAGGGGTTGTCTTTCCGGATTTTGGCAACCAAATATTTGTAGATCCTTCTCGTTAGAAAGGATGGCCCACCAAATCCAAAGGCGAAGGTTGGATTGATATTTAATTATCAATCCAAGGCATGGAGTGTTTGGTTCACTCTTTAATTAATGAGATTTTAACTGTAATTTAAGAAAGGCGAAATAAAGCATTATGGTAGTTGGTTGGGTGAGCTACCTACCTAAAACCTACCAAGGGTAGTTAAAACAACTTGTAATTGCAAAATATACTTCAAAATATTCTCATTTATCACTATTTTTCTTCTTTTTTTTTTACCCATGTAACTCCATAATTTAGTTGATAATAATCCAAAACCTCACAAATTCATCTCTTCCAAACACTATAAACCTTGTATTTGGAGAAACGAAAATGACTAAAGAGAGATTATATTTCCTACTAAAGTACTTCAAAAACCTACAAAACAGAATTAACACTCCGACGCTCTAATCAGTATACAATCTGATCTACATTCGAGATGGAATATATTTCGTATACCTTTAAAAGAGGTGGGACACTCTATTTAGGCGAGCTTCCGAAGGGCTTCGACAACCTAAGATCGAACTGTCTTGCTGGAAAATATGTTTGCCGTGTGTGCTCCCTGGATTACTCTTTAACCTCTCGGCTTGTGCCTATCGTAGGTCGACTGGAGTATAGAAAACGAAGTAGCTCAACTGAGAACACAAAGATGAGGAAATCTGACTCGATATAATTATTCTCTAAAGAGTTGTCTTCTTTCCGTTGATAGATAACTCCTGACGTTGAGATGTGGTGGTTGATAAATAGCATCCAATATTTATAATAGAGTATTTGGTAGAAATAAGTATAAACTAACCTAAATAGTCATGAATACAAAATAAATGATTAAAAATTTATTGTTATTATTTTTTTTTTATGGTTGATTGGAATGAGCGTGTGAATTCCACACAAGTGAAAAAGTAAGGAGTCAAATGAAGAAAGTTGACTGGAATTTTGTTCTTTGTTTTGTTTTATTTATTTATTTTTTCCTCCACTTCGAAAATCTGGAAAAAGAGGGTTTAATAACTTTCGCAGCATTCTTCTCTTCTCTTGGTGATGGAAAAGCATGTGAATTTTGCAAATTGGTGTCGCATGGGGATATGGGCTGTGGGGAGACATCAATTTATCAAATCTCAAAAATTAGATCTCCTCCCAACAACAACAACAGTGAAACAGCCCAAAAAAGTTGAAAAATAAAAATAAATAATTAAAAACAAAAACATCTGCCGTGTCAACGTCGGGATGCATCCTCCATCCTTCACACAATTTTAAGCGGTCACGATCGTGTCTCAAAAAAGTAATCAATCATCTATAGAAAGATTTTAAATATACACATCAACCAAAGTTATCTTATCCTTTATCACCTGCATTCTAATATTCAATTAGGAAATTTTGTGTCAAAGCTGTAAAACAAGTCTTCTTCACTATTTGTTTTTTTTCATCTCTCTCTCATGCAATAGGCCCAAATTTCTTTTAGTAGAATTATTGTACATCTTTATACCATATGAATAAACAACATATTTAAATTTGCAAGAGAATGTATTCGTAGTCAAAATTCACAAATTGGTTTTAGCACAAAGATACACAAATTGGAGTAATAAATAGCGTGATTTGAATTGGAGGAAAAATAAGATGAATTGGTTGTGGCGTTGTTTTTGTACAAAATTGTAATAAAGGCATTTGGAAGAATATGGAGAGAGAGAGAGAGAGAGAGAGAGAGAGAGAGGGATTGGGGGATTGGATTTTGGGGTAAATTAGAAAACAACTTGAATTTGAGTTTGATAGACAGACGTGCATGTGCAGCTGCTTCATTCGCGGCGTCAAGATATATTACATTTCGCTTTCTTTTCTCTATTTTCACTTTGTCCTCTACTGCTTCCAAATTCCTTCATTTCACTTTTTTTTTTTTTTTTATATACTAACAATATTATATTTTACATATTCAAGTTACAATAATTTTATGAAAATCTGAACTTTCGTAATATTGGACTATTAAATGAAAAAACACATAAGTAGTCTATTTCGACCTTTTTAAATGCGATGGAAAAACTAACCTTTTCATCGGTAGTGGGATCTCTCAACGGTCTTCAACCGATGGTGCTGCTGATATTTTTTTCGTTTTTTTCTTTCTTGTATTGACATTTCTCAACGTCGATAAAATCTTAATTTCAAATAGCGTAGGTTTGGATTTTTATTTTCAAATCACACAAAAAAAGCATCAAAATTAAAAATCGTGATTTTGCTCTTTGAATTTCTGATTAAAAAACTATATGTCAACACTTAAATTAATATGATAAATAAGTGTTTATAGCCAAGTTTGACCGGCGGGGTTGAATCAAACGATTTGAATTTGCGTACATATTTGATGGAGAATAATTTAAATATGCAAATAAAAGTTGGTGAAAATTAGACACAATGGTTGAAATTAAGAAAGAAAGGTGAAATTTTGTGGAAAATGACGAAAATAAAGAAAGAAAATTGAAGTCCAAGGAAGGAAAAATAAAGTATAGATAATATAATGGTTGGACTTTGGCTTTCAAAGAATTAACCAAAAAAATATTGAAATTCGAGACATAGTGCCGTAAATCTCGGTTGTGTTAAGCCTTGGATTATTAGTGAAGAATCTTTCTAATTTGGAAGTCGCTTTCCATGCAGATTTTATTTTCCTTAGAATTAATCATGATTTATTTCTTCTTTAATCTACCTAAGTCATCATCTAATTAATATAATATAATGTAGAAAATCTGTCCACGAAGCCAACGCTCGCACATGTGGGCAATTTCTACCATTACCCACGTGTGAAACCATTTTCCCCCATGATTTTTCTTACCAAATCTAATATTTTTTATTTTTGTTACAAGGATCTTTGATCAAATGAAGAAAATAATTGCAGTAATCAATGCACCTTATCTCTTAGTTGAAATATAAGACTTCTTTTATTTATATTTTCGGAATAAGTTGAAATTTTAGACTAGAAAGAAGACCAGCAGTTAGTCTAAAAACAGGATGTAAACATCAAGAAATGGATAGAAAGTTCTTGGTATGAACAAACTTCTGACATCTTCAAAATGGCTAATTTGACTCAAGACTCCATGTTTCAATTACTCTCTCTCCCTTTTGTCTCTCCTTGATGGATCCTAGTGTTTATTTGTAAAATTGCATTCTAAAACTAGTCCACAGTAGGATGAATTAGTTCATTTAGGTCTCTAAATTTCTTAATATAGACTCTTCCGTGGCTCTTTTAAGCTCGCAAATCTCAGTCGGATCTCTTTTTTAGATATGTTCGTTTGAGTTTATTGGATCTTGATACCATTCTAAACATGTTTAAATTATTCAATAGGTTGGGACAATGGAACCAAAATAAGAGACTCTATGTCCTAGGAAGAAAAAAAAAATTATAATATTGTTTTTTTATGAGGATTAGGATTTTTGGCCTCCCGTAAATAGAGCTATTTTGTTTAGGTTTTGTTTATTTGTGTATTGTCGCATATATTGTCGCATACATCATATGGACGGTCAGAGTAATGTTGGTGCACTGATTTCAGAGGCGTGGCAACAATGTTTGGCAGAGTTTCAGAGACGAGTTCTCAGGGGTTGTAGAGCAAAGTCAACCATCAATTCTCGCGGGTATTTTGTGAGGTTTTTAATTCTTGTTTCCTAAGATTCTATTGTTCTAGTTCAGGTGGCTTTTGTGGAGATCTCTAGATTGAGAGATTATTTGTCCTAATATTATAGTAGAACATCTTGTTGAGAAACACTAGACGTAGCTCATAGTTTGGGGGAATCACTATAAATTTCTCTCGTGTCGTTTACTGTGTTTTCCCTATATTTAGATATATAACATTTATGATTTTTTCCTTCTACCCATCAGCACTGGATTTATGTTTGCAACACCAAGTTAGCATTTTGAGTCTGGAAAAAATGGCAGAACATAGAACAGTCTTATTAAATTATGTTAAAGATATGATGGGATAAACTAACAGAAAAATATATAAAGAATCACACGTAAATAAACTTTATAAAGGCAAAAAAAAAGTGGAAAATTATTTGGTCGAGGGGGGATTGATTCAAGACAGCTAAAAGAATGTCATCACCCACGTGCTACGCAATATGTCTTTTTTTTTTTCAAATTTGATAAATAGGAGGGAGGGGGGTCAGCTCCTATTTGAATATGTTCAGATTGTACAGCAACTCTCAGTGGACCCTCTACCTAAAGAATATACATCAACTGTAAGTGGGCTCCTCCAAAATTATTTCATAACTTATTTTTCAAATCAAGTTAAAATCAAATTAATGCATACTTTGTTTTGTGGTGTAAAAAACCCATCAACCCTTCAAATTATCGATAGAACTTTTACACAAACTTGTCATCCTTCTGTGGGTTGTAGATTCAATCTCCTTCTTTTTATCTGTAACATAAGGCTCTAAAAAGAAGTACAAAATTATGTAACGTTGTTCTCTTTTCATATCTAAAATTGACGTATAATCTTAATGGAAAATGAGTGAAGGGGACAATTTGAAAGAAACAAAAGAATGAAGTAAAAAAAAAAAAAAAAGAGGTTTGGGGATGATGATGCTTGCTTGCACATGGCTATGGAAACCGGCTTGCCCCACTTGGATATCTCACTAGCAAAGCTCCAAAGCCACACGTTTTGGTCCCTGGAACCACCCTTTGATGCTTAGAAAACAAACCTCTTTTTTTTTTCTCCCTCTTTTTTTTACTGTTTGAAGACTCCCTTTTAGGCCCCAGCAGCTTAAAAAGTGTTGGTCTGTGGTGACGGTGGTTAATTAGTCTCTGTGAGGCAGCCCACTTCCAAATTTTCTATATATTGTCCCCTGCACTCCTCCAATCCCTCACTCCTCTGCCTCACATTCTATCTCCTTTTTGTTACTTCATTTCTTACTTCTTTTCTTCTGGTAATCATCTTGTCTCTCTCTTTTTCTCTCTCGCGTTTGCAATAATGTTCTGTTTGAAAATGGGTAAAAGAGAGATGGAAGATTTGCTGAGAGTTGAACTTCTCTTTTGCAGGAATGGCTTCTGTACTTTTATTTTTGGCGGGGTTTTATGCCATGGTTTCCTCTGCTGATGCCTATGCAGGAGGAGGGTGGACTAGCGCCCACGCTACGTTCTACGGTGGGAGTGATGCCTCTGGGACAATGGGTATGCACTGTTTTACTCATGAGCTCTTTGAGGACTTTCGACAAACAGTTGGCACACAATGTGAAATATGGCTGAACTTTTTTTGTGTTTGATGAAATTTTGCAGGTGGGGCTTGTGGGTATGGTAATTTATACAGTCAAGGCTATGGAACAAACACTGCTGCTCTGAGTACGGCTCTGTTCAATAATGGCTTGAGCTGCGGCTCTTGCTATGAGATTAGGTGCGCGAGTGACCCTAAATGGTGCCTGCCGGGTTCTATTGTGGTCACGGCCACCAATTTCTGCCCTCCAAACAATGCCCTTCCCAACAACAACGGAGGATGGTGCAACCCTCCTCTACAGCACTTTGATCTCTCCCAGCCCGTCTTCCAACACATTGCCCAATACAGAGCAGGAATTGTGCCCGTCGCCTACAGAAGGTAAGCCATCAAAACAGAGTTTTACAGGACAGGGGATTTCTTCCAGAGCCATTCAATTAACAAGTTTTTGTGGGGGTTTTTGTAGGGTACCCTGCGGGAGACGGGGAGGCATAAGGTTCACCATCAATGGCCATTCCTACTTCAACCTGGTGCTCATCACAAACGTTGGTGGTGCTGGTGATGTACACGCAGTTTCCATCAAAGGGTCAAGAACTGGCTGGCAAGCAATGTCAAGGAACTGGGGACAGAACTGGCAGAGCAACAGCTACCTCAACGGCCAGAGCCTCTCCTTCAAGGTCACCACCAGCGACGGGCGCACAGTCGTCTCCAACAACGTCGTCCCCGCCCGCTGGTCCTTCGGCCAGACTTACAGTGGTGCCCAATTCTGATTCATTACCCTCTTCTAGCAAAAATAAGTTCTATGATTAAGCAGAGTAAAACAAAAAATCTAGTGTGACCTTTTTTTCTCTTCCTCTTAAAGTATACTATTAGTAGATTATTAGATATATAGTATATACTATGTGAGTGTTTGGATCAAAAAATGAGGAACGGGCTTATTTTGGGAGGCTCTTTTTTATCGTTTTGATTCAAATCGCAACATTGAATGAGGGCTGGCTGTACTGGCTACTTATTTGGATTTTTTAACCTAACTTTTGCTGTAAAGCAGAAGTTGGCAGAGGTGGGCTTTAACCACCCGCCTGCATTTTAGTTACCATTGTGAGTTCATTGTGTTGTAATCATTAATCAGCTCTCTGCTGCGCTACTTTTATTTGTTGTATTATTGGTCACTGAAAGTGTAAATTTTCAGTTTCCTTCAGTAATGAAAAACGCAGACTTTACTTATTTTTGTTCTGTTCCTCTGTTTTTTAAGTATTAATGTTTTCAATCTCTTGTGGGGCTTCCTCTGTTATGCTTTCTCCATCAAATGCCCCAAAATATATTAAGGTTAAACTCATATTAAGCAAAAACCAATATCTCATATATCATTTGCTCTTTCTTATTTAATCATTTTTGTAAATTTGCTAAGTAAATGCCCCTTTTTAGGTCACTAAAATCTAAGCCCAATTATTTAAAGCCCAAGGCTGAATCTTTTGGCCATTTTTCATAAAGAGTGAGTAAATAGAGACTAATTTCCTATTATCATTCTAGCTCATCATCTTCATGGAGTTCAGTGGTTCATGGTCTTTGTACAGTTTAAAGCTTGAAGTGTTAATCCAAACATTTGTTAACAAGGGATTCATTATTTGTGGTTGGAAACACCACTCCTTATCAGTTATCATCACCAAAATTTTTCTGCAATGATGAAAAAAAGGTGTGGAACTGAAATAACCAAAACACGAAATCATGAAACGACTTGCCTTTATTCTTGACCTTCGACATTGTATCGAATGGACAAGTAGAGAAACATGCTGGATTTATTTTGGCCAACTGAACTGAAACAGAAAGTTAACTATAACTTGTATTTGTCTTTGAACTGCTATGTTGCTATGTTTATTTACAGCTCCATGTAAGCCGGAGAAAATGAAAGGGCAGTACCTTAGCTGCCAAAAAGACAGACAGAGATAAAGCAAAAAACAACTCCTTGAAACCTAATTTCATGGAGAGTAAGCACTGAGCCTCTTTTGCCTGGTCACAACCTCGAGAGGGTAGTTCTGAAATTGTGTGTACATTAGGCTATCGACTTCTTTCTGAAGGCTATAGTTGCTCAGTAAAGATGAATGTAGATCGAAATCATCCTCGAGCTGTCACGATCAACTTTTCCAGCATTGCTATAACTGTATGCAATACATAATGTTCAGTTAGTTGCTAGAAATGAAATATTGCTTTTGACAAAGCTGGAACCTAGCAGTCACTCAGTATTCAACTGGGGCACAGGAAAATAAGAAAGCAGAAGTAACAGACAGTTCAAATATCTTCTGTATAGATTTCTAACAGTAAAAGCAGGACATCGATTTTCTAAAATATGTGCTGTACTATTTGGCCAAGAATGTGAACTTTGATCCACAAAGATTCTAAATGAAAAGTGTTGGTTTTTTAATGCTCTGAGCAACAAAATCATCTTCACTTCATAGTTTTGTGATGACAAAAGCAGTTTTCAAAGGTAAACTTACTTAAGGATATAAGCGATCGTCTAACAATGAAACAGCACAAGGACCAGAAGATGAAGCCCAGTAGTTATGTTGGGTGGGGTCGTAATTCCCATTAACGTGATAATCTACTGGATTTACTGGCAGGTTCATCTCTGCTGCTGGTTGAAATCTCGGGTCATTAAAAAAATTGACATTATAAGACATGTAGGAATTTTGTCCTCCTAGCTGGGGCCTTAGAGGTTCTGTTCTGCTTAGTTCAGGGAGGACGGCATTTTCTTGTCCAGAATTTGAGATCTCTGGACTTCTACCCGTGCCGAAATACCCAGGGTAACTAGCAAAGGATGAACTTGCTGAGCACTCCACATCCCTAAAGAGAAAAAAAAGAAGTTAATATGTTGAATACTAGTTTTCGGTAAAATTATACGATCCAAGCTCATTCATACATCAATATCTATAATTGTCTAAATTTCGTGCATGTTCATAATTGTGTATTAAAGACGGTCTCCCACAACTTTCTATCTTCCACTTCCTTGTATTTGTTTCTAGTGTAATCACAGAACCATAGCTGATTATCTTGATGGAATAGAAAAAGAAACAAGTTCTTTTTAAGCAAAAATGAAGACTTCAAACTTACCTATGAGGAACAAAGTTTGGATCGTCGTGTAAAACCATGTTTTGACTATCACTGGGAATCCAAGAGAAGTGTTGGAGTTGTTGAAGTTGTTGCTCAACACTCATATTGAAAGGTAGATGCAGTCCATCCTGCATCTGCAATTGACACAATTTTACTACTTCAAAGTAATGAAAATATCTAGTTAAACTTAAGCTACCACAAAACCCAAATAATAAAGCCAATAGGTCCGAGCTTCAATTTATATTCTCGACACTCCCACCCATGCACTTGTAGCTTTCAAAATAAGTATGAGACCCAACAAATGACCTCCAATATAAATCGGAGAGGACATGAGCTTCATTACAAGATCTCCTACTCTGATGCTATTATTAAACACTATCACTAAATTCAAAAACTTGAGTTGATAAGTTGAGGTCCTTTTACCTGATTAGTGAACTCTAAGGGTACTGGAGGATGCTTCTGCTGATTTTCCTGCCAGAGTAAATAAAAAATTTGGAACAATTTCAAAATCCCAAATCCTTCTCACTTACCTCCAATAAAATTCAAGCATACACAACCTTAAACATAAAGTAATAATGTAGCAGAAAGAAAAAAAAAACAGGATATAAATTATATTGCTATGATTCAAAAGATTGCTCTCCCACATTTCAATCACAACAGAAAGGAAGTGATTGATACCTTGTGCGCTCGAATTTGATTAAGCGATTCTCTCAAGGAATCCTCCAGTTGGGTCAAATGATCCACGTTGTTTATTTTATCAGGATTGGCCCAATAGCTGCAGAGAAGAATCAAGAAATACAAAATTTGGGAACAGCAAAAAGTTGGCTTACATTACATAGGAAAAAGGAAAACTCTAACGAGATACAAAAAATTTGCCGCCATCAACCTTAATCTCTGATGTACATCCGAAAGTTGGGTCCGTAATAACTTCACTTGGCCAGCCAAATCCTGCCATTTACTGATCATAAGCAACATTTTCAAATAAATCGAACATACCAATAAAGCAAATCCCGAGGTGTACGCGTACCTCAATCGTTTGGCTGCTGAAACAAAACAAAAAAGCAAACCAAAAATATCAAGATCGTTGCGCAATTATGAACTCCATAATAGATGGAATATCTGAACCGACGCGTACCTTGCCCCAAGAAAATCTTGTATGTTAACGTCGTGGTCCAATTTCTTGAACGTTTTCCGTAACGCCTAGAAAACTCAAGGAGATCAGAAAATTTCGATTTCTGTAAAAGGGGGAAACAATCAATCGAAATGGATGGTGGGATTACTTACTTCAAGGCTTTCCAATTTCCTGATCCAATCAGTGAGAAGAGAACACAAGTAAGTCGCAAATAACGAATTCGATTAAAAGATAAAGAAAGGAAAGGAACTGATGTTTGAAGCGATTCTACCTTTTCGCCCTTTCCTGGGGAGTTTGTTGCGCAAACTTCGCGATTACCTCTTCAATGCTACGAAGAGAGGAAATTAGAATTAAGAATGTTCGAAACGAGTATGGGAGAAGAGAGGACATCGTGTAGCGTACCTGCGTTTTCCAGAAGAAAGGGCGGGCTTCCCAGTTGGCGAAAACATGAGAAGAATAATGTCAATATCACATAAGATTGATAACTCGGTAGCCTTCTTCATGATGCCGTTCTTTCTTTTGGCATACGTTGCTTGGCGGCCGTTGGTGTTCTCCAATCTCTTGATCTTCAGCTTTACCCTTCCCATTCTTCCCCAGCCAAAACCATCATCCTTCTCTTCCTCTTTAATCGCCTTTTCAATTACTCTCCACCACAGTTCCAAACCATCGTGCCTTCGTAATCGCCTTTTCTGTCCCAATTTTGCAGTTGCATTATATTGTAACAAACCCTAATTCTTGTTGTTGTTGTTGTTGTTCTTCTTCTTCTTCTTCTTCGGGAGAGGGGTCCGTTGGATTGGACGGAGGAAGAACAAGAAAACAAACACACACCATCACTTCCATTCTACTTGTAAATTACATCAGATCCGTTCGTTGCTGAGATGCATTAACCACATCTTAATTTGCGGTGCAAAATCAACCACCAGTTTCCACCACTAATTGTTGTATATGGTTACAAATAAATTGTTCCCACCGATAGTTGAGGAGTTTGCTTTCAGTTTCAGTTTCTGCATTCAAATTTTATCTGTGAAATTCTGTGTAATTCTTCATTTCCGAAGAAGCATTGTTTATTATTATTATTATTATTTTTTATTTTGAGCAACGAAGCATTATTATTTAACAGTGGAGAGTTTGGTGACGGATAAAAGGGATACATATGTGCGGTGAGCTTACGTTATACAATATTAGCTTATTGAAATGATGTTCACATGATGATAAGTGAACATTCTAACATAAAATAACTTTTATGTCAAATTAAATTAAATAACTTTTCTCTGGTTAGTATTACAACTTGTGGGGGTACGGAGTGTTTTCGAGCACGTAATCGCTTTGTCCTAAATACATAATTTAATCAATTGTACTATGTTTAAGTTGACTAATATCATTCACTTTCCAACATAAAAATAAAAATGATATAGTTTCAGTTTTGGTTATTTTTTGTCTTTGTATTTTAATTTTTATTGATTTTAGTACCTTTAAAAAGTTACTATTTAAATTTTTTTTATTTTTATCTCATTTTTTCAATTATAATTTTAGCATGATACCTTATCGAGAGATAAGAACGAATTGGATCGTACTTTATTCGTTAAATTTATTGAAATATAGTAATAAAAATTTATATTAAAATATTTTCATTGCGTATAAAATTTTACAAATAGTAAGGTTTTGGTTATTTTTTATAAGAGCATAAATTTTAAAATAGATATTTTAAGGGTATAAAGACTAAAATAAAAATTAAATTAATCTTTAAAAGATAATAGAGACTAGAATGAACAAATATTTAACCCTACGAATTATCTTCAAAATTGGATGCTTTTATTTGTGAGGAGAGTAAGTGACCTTGCTTTGGATGCTTTTATTTGTGAGGAGAGTAAGTGACCTTGCTTTTACCATCGTTACATATTTAACAACTCATCATATTTTAAAAAATTTTTATGTTTTTTCATTTATCTCTCTTAGTTATCAAATATTTAATAATGGTATGAACAATATGGTTGGGTGAGAAGATTATTTGTGATGCAATTTCTGGGAAGGTTTGTCATCAGTAATGGAAAAGTTGTACAAGTTCCTAAAGGGCCCAAGACCCATAGTTTGTTAAGGCCCATTGGCTACTATGAATCATATTAGTGGGCTGGTCCAACTAGGACTATAATAGGCTAATTCAAGCAGTTGGGTTGATCCAAGCTTAAGCCCACCTTGTTTTTGTTTTCATAAAAAATAGTCAATAATCTAATTTAGTCATAAATTAATGTAAAAGAACACATTTTTAATAAGGTATTAAAGAAATATAAACTTTGATTAAAATAGAAATCTGGTCCACCTTTCTTCCTCCTCCACAGGGAAAACTTCGGCCTCTGAAATGATAAGCAGACTCCAATTTCCTCCTCCATGCATCCTCCTCCTCTTTCCTCGGTCATCGCCTCCATCTCTTAAACCCTCGGGAAACCCTAATTTCAGAAGCCCTCGTTTCACCGTGACCATTAATACCCAATTTTCCGGCCATTCCGGCACCGCAACTTCCTCCGACTCCGGCATCCTATTCCGGGAGAAAATACTATACCTCGAGAATCACCTTCATGTCGATTCCCGGAAAGCCTTCCAGCAGAATCCCGATTCTCGTTCCGCTACTCTCTCCGCTCTCAAGTCCGTCGAGGTCTGTCTCTCCTCCATGGGACTCGAGCTCTCTGCAGTTGGCCGCGTCCTCGACATGTACCCTCAACTCCTCACCTCTGACCCGGAATACGATCTCTACCCCATCTTCGATTTCCTTCTTAATGAGGTCCGAATTCCGTTTCCCGACATTCGAAAATCCATAATTCGATGCCCTAGAATTCTCGTCTCTGATTTAGACCTTCAATTGCGACCTACGTTGCTTTTCTTGCGCAATTTGGGTTTCGTTGGATTGAATGCCATCACGTGCCAGACGACAATGCTACTGGTTTCGAGTATTGAGCATACGCTTCTGCCCAAGATTAAGTACCTCGAGAGCTTGGGATTCTCGCACAAGGATGTGGTTAATATGGTATTAAGGTCTCCGGGGTTGTTGACATATAGCATTCAAAACAATTTGGTACCGAAAGTGGATTATTTTTTAGGAGACATGAAGGGTGATTTACTGGAATTGAAAAGGTTTCCGCAGTATTTTTCGTTTAGTTTGGAGAGAAAAATTAAGCCTCGTCATCGTTTACTGGTTGAGCATGGATTGTCGCTTTCTTTGTCGAGAATGCTGAAGGTTAGTGATGGGGAGTTCACTGCAAGGGTAATAGAAATGCGATTGCAGTCGGCTACGGCAGATGGTTGAAGTGAGTAGCTTGCTTCTTGTAGATGCTTGTTAGTTTGTAGTTTGATTAATTTTGTAGTTTGTGGTTTCTCTGTATATGCCGGCAAAGCGTTCATATATATAAAAAAGGGTTCCCTTCGTTGGGGTGGGGGATATGCTACCTTTTCAATGTTACTCTCGATTGGTTAAAGCATATATAATCGACGCAATGGTTGCCATAAAAAAAAAAAAAGAGCAATTTTAGAATTGAGCCTGTCATTAAAACAAAGTATTTCACTCGGTCAGTAGTTTATTAGTTCTTTGGAATCAAGAAGTGAGTTTGGCAGGACTTGAAACATATAGCATATTCTAATTGCAGAAGATAATGACTTGGAACCTGTGCCTTGTTACAGTCGAAAACTATTGGAAATAATGGGTATTAGCAACTAGCAAGTCCCATAATTGATGTGTGGTTTTGGAGCTAAATTTATAGTGGTATTAGTAAGCTGTGAGCTGTGCGCATGGTTCATGTTGCCACTGCCAATTTATGTTCTCAGCTCCTTCTATGATGCGGATCTTGGAAGGTAATGCAATTTGGTTGTTTTCTATTTTGATTTTGGACTAAGAAGGGATATCCGAAATCCATTAATTTGCTGTTGGCTTTAGGACATCTTTTTGGTAGCAAAGCAATATAAAATTTTACTTTTGTTGCGGTGTATGATGCAAGATCTTGATTGGTTCCTACAGCATTCCTACATTTTTTTAAGTAATCGTCTAACTTCCTGTGGAATGTCGTCGAGCTCGCCACAGTTAACTAGTACTTGTGAATTGCAAGATTTTGTTATTTTAGAAGTATCATTTGGCATGGTGGTGACTCCCCATCGTAATTGGTCATTCAATCCTATTTTTTAACGATTCCAACCCATCTTATTTCATGACACTTCTGGACATCTTTTTCATGTTGGGGCTCACTATGTATATAGTATTTTCACTAGAGAGATAATATACTACAAAGCTGCAAGGATATCATATATACAAAATACAAATATTACACAATGACTGTACTCAAATAAGTAGCACGCATGGTTGTATGTAAATAACACATGAACTGCTGCATCATAATAGGCACTTTACTTATTTGATGCTTCTTATAATCTATCTGGAAACAGTGATTTAGTAGATGATGCTGCACCTGCAACAACAAAAATAAATGGAGCAATTGAACACGGTAAAAGTTTATCTTTATATTTCCTTCAGGTTCTGTTGTGTTTTTCATTTATTGTTCTTTTGTTCCTTGGAATGAAGTTTAACAAGTTTCAAACGGAAATTAATCAGGTGATTGTAGTCAAGCAGAGAGGGCGAATGAACAAAATTTGCATTGCCCCTGATATCTGTTATTGTACTAATACACTGGAACTGGAATTAAGCATAATTTTGTTGAAATGATGGATGAGCATTGCTGCTGAGGTTAGTTTATGTTGACAGTTCCATTTGTTTCAGCAGGGAGCTGTGATGGAAACGATCCTTGACAAGGCCAGGCATTTCACCATGCCCATCTGATAATGCAGCAATTTGGTTGGAGGGACTCACAAAGTTTGTTCCCATCTTGAGTGAGATCATCAGTCAGAACGTTTGCTGCTTAAACAGAGTATACGTAAGAGACCGAGACTCAAGCTTCTGCACCATAACCATTTGTTGATGCAATGCAGGGCTTAACTACAGAAATTTGCCGAGAGACAACTTGCAAGGTTGGCCCCATCGCAAAGATATCAGGAAGATTGCTGTTTAAGTAGAGATTAACTGGAAAACAGTCGGATGGTAATCAAATTATGCTTGATTCATTTCATCACCGAATGTAATTTCCCATGGATATTGTAAGAACTATCAACCTGTATATTATAATCCTTGGCTACTATTAGAAATTCATCAAAGAGAACACCCGGTTGTGTTATGCAAAAAGCTCAAACTTTAAGGAGAGGGAAAGGTGAACCCCCAAATCATAGGATATAGCAATGTCCGTCGCTGGCTTATTAATATGGTCCTCTGATCATCAGTTGGACTTGAAAATTTATTTCTGTTGGAAGAAAGTTAGTGTGGGAAAATGAAACTAGATTTTGTCCCACCAAAGTTAGAAATCTTCAAGAGATTTCCATAGCGAATGATGATTCGTTTTCTTGTTGAACCGTGAGCCGAACAACACGGTTTCTTGCTGCAGAGATGCACCACTGTCGCAGTCCAGATTTTGCAGGGTACGTTGTCCATTACAGGTTTTGAATGGTACGGTTTTAGGAGGCCTCGGGTCATCTCTGTTTCTCGGGAGACCAAAATGCAAATGCTAATTGGGGTCTGCAGTCGTCACCTCTGGACCCGTTACCCTCCCTTCCTACAATCAATTTGCTCAGACACAGAAAAACAAGACGAGAGGGATCTATTCCATTCTTTAATCATTCAACCTCGAAGGATGGGATGCGTTTTGATTTGAAATTCATGATGGTCTTCATTTATTTATTTCTCAATACATTATTTATAATATTGGTTGGTTGCCTTTAAGGCAGATCAGACTCGGAGGAGAGCGAATGTTCTGAAGAAGTTAAGTTGGTTATATAACTTATATTTATATTATACATGATCTGTCTGATTAAGGAGATTTTATATGATTAATCAAATAAATGATTTTGGTTTTGGTTTTGTTGTTAAATTCTAGCTTAGCTGGAACTGGATGTGTAGGCCAAAGAGAATTCATAGACAACGATATTATCTGTTATGAGACACCGATTTCAGAATCCACATGGTATGTATTTATGGTCGCGTCGTGTGTGAAGGAATTTTTGTTTGTCCTTGTGCTTTACGACAATCTTAACTGACCAATGTGCTTCGATGTTCATGTCCACCTTAAAATCATGTTATCAGACCACCTCAATCTTTTCATATTGTTTCATTTCAACCTCTCTTTACTCTCTCTCTCTCTTCTTCACTGTTCACACAACATGAAGCATTATAGGAAGTTCTTTTCTCTTTTTTGTTTCTAATTCCAACAAACAGATATCTTTGTTTGTTCGCCTCAATTACTTTTAACATAAAAACCATGGAAAAGTGAGAGATCTTTTGTATGATATGCTTTCATATGTTGGTATTTGCAAATCCCAACATAAAGATTCATCTTTGTTTGTTCTCTGCATCGAAGGGTACCCTTCGCCAATACCTTTAGTTTCTATTCCGTATCCTTCCAAGGGAGCAAACCCAACAGAATCTTTCGGCTCAGCCCTACCATTTATATTGTGGGCCATTTCTTACCAAATTCTTTTATTACATAGTCTTCATTCTCAAGCTCTCCTAGCTACCCTTTGCTCCTTTGTTGGGCATTTAGGGTTGAGAGAACGTTAGTTGGCACTGCACTGCCAATGGGGTTCCCTTTCTTTTTTTTTTTAATTTTCTTTTGGTTTTTCTGTCAACATTATATATAGCAATATTTTGAATAACATTTCTCAGATAACCCAGTTGGATTTACTGTAATTACTTTGTTTTGGAGAACGTGTATCGAACTTGATGGAAAATTCCAAAGTTTCACTACTAAAAGTCACAAGATTTGGCCGATAGTTTTGGTTCTTGTTGTTCATCATGAAAAGGAAAAAAAGAGAGAGAGAGGAAAATAAGCTAATAAAGAGGACAAAGAGTTGCACAAGTGGATGGGAAGGGGATCCTAAGTTTGCTTGTTCAGGTAAGCTGTCAAAAATCACAATAATTCTGCTATTAGGAAGCAGTCAGTGGCTCAGTCCTTAGGGCAAGAAATGCCGCACGTGGGATTGGCAGAGGAAAGAAACAAATGCGAAAAATTTAACCCAAAAAAATTTTGGTTTTTTTTTTTTGGGTGCAGACCATAGCAGACCATAAAGGAAGAACTTAACAATGGGGGGGAAATTTAGGCGTTGAGCAATACTGTTACACGCAGTTTTACTTGTCAACATTGCCCTCATCTTCTGCTTCCCTCGCTTCTTCTCACTGTCCTTTGTCTGATTACACACTCCACGAAAAAGGAAAAAGAACACCCTTTTTCAAATCATTGTTACTTTTAGCTTATATTATATTTAATCAATGTCACATTTTTGTGGTTATCTCACAGTACATAGTTAACATGGGCAGCTTTATTTTGATATATTAATTGAAAGCATAGACTATTACAACTCTCTTCTTACCTTTTATGGTTTATTCCTTCTGTTTCTTTGATGTGGTGAAGATGATGGAAAATATAATTTATTTCTACCCATTTAAATGAAATTGATGAACTATATATATCATTAGATTCCAAAACAAAGTGTTGAACACATCTACTATAGTTTCAAAGAAATGGGTTGGATTTTCTTTGGCTTGTTGTCAAATAAAAGGAAACTGCCAAGGGGAGTAGATTAGAAGGGCGTTTTTGGTGGCTCTAAAACAGGGAAACGTTGAAGATTACCTGATTGGGGTTTTGTTTTGTATAGATCCAAAATTAGGAGTGTAGATAGAGATACAGAGCTACGTACTAGTAGAGAGGGAAGATGGTTTTGGAAGGAACTCCAAAAGAGGGGGCATCAGTGTGAGATCTTTCGGCAGAGAAGGATGATAAGTCATTAATGGAGATAGTGTTCTGTTTGGTTGGTGGTTGTTGTTCAAAGCTCTCTCTCTTGACCCATTACTGTTCACTCCCATTGTCACAGCTGATAGTACATTCCTGAACCACTGTGCCAAACAATGAATTGAATGAAACGTCTGATTTTGGGATTCCCAATGTGATAAAATTTAAGTTCTTTTTCTTTCTTTTTCCTTTCTTTTTTTTAACCCACTGTCTCTAATTTAAGCTTCAAAGTTTGTTTTGTTTGTTTTGTTGCAGCACTGTTGCATATGTAAGCCCTAAAGCCATCCATGTGCATATGATCAAGTACATTCCTTGAGGTGAAAAGATCTACCCTTTTCTTTTCTTTCTTTCTTTTACTGGCTTTCTAGTTAGGGTCTCTCTTTAACCTCCCTTCTCTTGAGGGCAGATATGATATGAACAATATCATGAAACTTTTTCCCGTCCACACCCATGAGTTGAAATTTCACAAATGAATCAACAAATATCCATTGAAAGCTGTATGTATCCCAAGAAACATGATAACAATTTAAAAAACAAGAAGAAAGAAAATGCTTGAAGAGTGAAATTACCACTACACCAGCCAAACTCCTCAAGGTTAATAGACTACTGTGTATTTAATCATTTATTTAAATTCTTGAGACATTCTATGTCTTTTTAAAAAGTCATTGACTTGAAACCTAGGTCATTTTTGTAAAGTAATATTAAAAAAAAACGTTCTCCCTACTTGTAGACTTGGAAATTAGCATAAACCCTAACAAAAATCATGCTCAAACAGACCCTCCAAATGTCAATAATAGTATAATATTGTACATTTAGGACATAAGCCATCAAGATTTTAATTTTGATTTCACCTAAAAAGTTTCGTACCAATAGAGATGTTATCTTTCTCTTATCCAGTTAATGTGGACTTTGGTTATAGATCTTTTCCCTTATTCATGTACCCACAACTTTTGGTCGAATTTCCAATAGTCATATCAAACTACACTTTAATCCAAAAACTTAAACTAACAAGTTACACAATATTTAATCATTCATAACCCATTGATGCATGTCCTAAACCTTGATGAGAACTTGGTTAAGAAGAGCCATCTGTTTTAGCAAAAAGAAGAAGGAAATGCCAGTTTAACTGTTTAAGAAGGTGGTTAAAGCTCAAGCTATGGCAGATGAGCTAGGACTGAGATGAGGCAGAGTTGGCAGCAGTGGCAGGAGGTCAACAATTTCATCAATCAAACACCAAAGCCTATGCATCAAAAGAGAGGGAAACGGAATAGCCAATAGGGATTAGAAAGAGAAAGAGAGAGAGCATGGGGGAACTGTTAAAATTTGTTCATAAAGCAAATGGGGTTTGTTGGGTCAACCTCAGTTGGTTAAGGGAAGGGCAGCTATTTCCAAATGGAAAACAGAAGCAAATAAACAAATTAAAGCTGAAAAAGAAATGTATATTTGATGATGATGATGAATGTGGAGTAGCCGTAGGTGACAGAATGTGATTGACAATCTCTCTCAGCCAGCAGCCTCTGTATTCTATTAACTACTAAGGTGTCAAACTCAATAACTTTCTCTTTCTCTTTCTTGTTTCTGCAATCTGCATTGAAAAGAAAGGCGTCATAAGCCTACCATCTGGAAACCCCAGCAAACCCCCACTTCTCTTTTATTGTCAATGGAATTGGACACCCACAACACAACCCTCAACACTCACTCAATGCATACAATTACTCACTACTAATTCATCCCTCATTTTCAGGTTCATCCTCGTCGCATAGTTCTCACTAACATGAGTATAGTTTTGACTGTTAAGTTAATTCTACTTCTTTTTATGACGTTCTAGAATCAAAACTTCTCACTTCCAAGAAGCAGTCCAATTGGCAAGGATTTATAGTCTATTGAGCATACTGATTTGGACGTCTCAAATTCAAACTTTCTTGTGAGATTAATATTAAATATCATTAATGTCTCTCGCGTCTGAGCCATGGGATGGACGCGGATGTCTTGGGTGTAGAGGAACAAAGCTCTGACTCCAGTTACAAAAGGAAAAAATCAGATCTTCTCACTTCGTATTTGATGCATTATTTTGTAAAAAATGATCCCATAAATAGACTTGTGAATAAACTAGGACTTTTTGAATAAACTTAAATGAGGGTTTAAGACATTATATTTTATGAATCGTTTTAAGAATATCACTACAAATACATATATGAACATTAAGAGGAAGTAGACATGCTTTAATTTAGTTTTTATGACACTTATCATTATTTAGTAATTTTAAGTTAAAGAATATGAGACAATAATGCAACTTTTAGGATGGTAGGAATCAGCTGGAAAAAAAAAATAACTTTAAACAAAATTGTAAAAGCTGATGCATAAGGATTAAAACTTTAATTTAACAAACATCTTTTTTTTTCCAAGTAAAATGTAGGATTATTTTCAAATAATCCAATCAAATGGTGCATATATCATCGACTAAAAGTTGAAGGTTCGAATCACTCGGAGTTGAACTAAAAAAAATACAAATAAAAAGTCTTCTTCAATGAAATTATTCTCTAAAAAATAGCCTATCCAAAATAGTATCATTTTGAAACATTTTTTTTCTGGGCAAATAAACACCTTACATACCTTTCCCTATCCCATTCATTTTTATCTTCTATTTTTGTGCGTATAGTTTCACTCATTAGTTAACAGTTAAGGCAAGGGTTCCACAATCCCTTAGTCAAAATCAAGGAAGAACGTATTGGGATTGGGAAAGGAAAGATGCATAAGATTTCTTTGGTTTGATTTCCCAATGACTTTTCAGAGATTCATAAATAAAGATCCGTACCTTTTTTTTTTTAATTTTCAAAATTTTCTCTGCTAATTCTTCTCCTTCTTCATGAACTGATGAATTACAAATTACTTTTCCATTAAAAGAAGGAAAAAAAAGGAAAAAAAAGAGGAGTTTAAAAATGCCCATGTCAAAGAAACCAAAAACAACCCCAAATAAATCCAAACTTGTTAGCTAAAAAGGGTTAGCAGAGTTGTGGTCAGCCATGCTAATGTTGCATTCCCATTCAGTCAGTTTTCAAAAGGCCAACTTTACTGTTTACCCTTTCTTTCTTTCTTTCTCTCTCTATCTCTAAGTTTCCCCCCAGCTCTGTTCGAGGTACACTGCAATATTCGATTTCTTTCCCCATTATTTTTCCTTCTCAGCCAGCTTTCTATTTCAAGTCCCACATTTTCATTTTGTACACCATTTTCCGTTTTCCACATTCTGGCTCGTGGAGATGACCTCCCAACAGTATCCCCCTTCGTCATCATCCCTCCAATTCCAAATCCAATTCAAACCCACTTCAAAACTTCGCCTATATATCCAACCCATTTGGTAAAAATGCAAACTTGGAGCCTTTGAAGAAGAAAAAAAATGGAGGCTTTCGATCTTGATCTCAACTGTGCGGTTGTTTCTTCGGGCGTTTGTGATTCTCAGGAGGAGAGTTATGCGTCGGGCAGGAGCTGTGAGGTTGAGAATGGGGGGGGAGGGTTTTGGAAGTTTCCATTTTCGTGTGAGTCTATGACCAGAAGCTCAGAGACTGATGTTGCGGATGGGAATTATGCCACTTCTGATTTCAGTGATGGTTTTGTTGTTGAAAATAACATTAATGAGTCGTCTCTAAATCACATTCCCCACCCCAACCCTAGTAGTTGTTCCAATGCTGCTAGTGGGGCTCAGTCTAGACTCTGTGCCAGAGGTCATTGGAGGCCAGCTGAGGACACCAAGTTGAGAGAACTTGTGGCTCTTTATGGCCCCCAGAACTGGAACCTCATTGCTGAGAAGTTGGAGGGAAGATCTGGTAACATACAAACCTACACACAATTTTTCCTCTTTTTTTTCTTTCTGTTTCCCTTTTTTGAGTTCAAACTTAAGAAACGGGAGGAGGTGAGAATTTGAATTTTTGATCTTTAACTCGACACTCATGCTTTAACCAGTTGAGGTATATAAAGGTACATTGGGAGTGAGAATTTGAACCTCTAATATTTAAAGATGATTATTAATATTTTAACTTACTCGAGATGTGCAAAGGGCAAGAGTGAGGATTGCTCTGGAAGGGCCGCTCATTTGTCAGGGCCTGACGTCTTTTGATCCTGCTAATTTAGAATTCTTAAGTTAATTTATAGGTTTTAAGTTCGAATCTTTTTGTGAGTTTAATAATCTTGACCGTAGGGCAGGCATCGATATTACTAGGTATAGGGTTCTGATTTTCGGTTAAAAAAAAGGAAACAATTGGCAAGAGTGAGGATTCAAACTTCTCATGAATGTGTTGATCAACTAAGATATCACAAAGAGTTGGAGTTGGAAATCGGACATTAGGGGAGGCTGATGAACAAGGGGAATTAGAAGTGAGAGCGGAGAATCGAACCTCTGACAAGTTATTAGCAAGCTAGAGGTTGAAAATTAAGCTTTTCTTTTGTACATTCTTTTTACTACTGTTCATGGTGTTTTTTTCTTCTCTTTTCTTGGTATAAAGGCAAGAGTTGCAGATTGAGATGGTTTAACCAGTTGGATCCAAGGATCAACAGAAGGGCATTTAACGAGGAGGAAGAAGACAGGCTAATGCAAGCTCATCGAATATACGGAAACAAATGGGCCATGATAGCAAGACTTTTCCCTGGAAGAACTGATAATGCTGTAAAGAATCATTGGCACGTCATAATGGCCAGGAAATATAGAGAACAGTCTCGTTCCTACCGAAGGAGGAAGCTCAGCCAGTCTGTTTACAGAAAAATGGAACAAGATTTGAGTTTCCTTAATCTCCCCAAAGATGGAGACAACCCACACACGTCTACTTGTAGTTCCCCTTTTGGAAACTTTCAGGCTTCTGTTGGAGGACTTGATTATGGCTTTTTGACCCAAATGCCCATTGGTGGAGAAGGAGAAAAGCCAATTTCCAATAACCATCCTTATTTCGCCTCATGTGCACAGCTTTCAGCTTTTAATGCCCTTCCAGGTTTGTTAGTTCTTCACACCATTTTAAATTTAAAGGCCACATTTTTCTTTAAAAATATAACTAGCGGATTAAATGTACTATAACCCATTACGCTCGTTTGATTAAATGTACTTCAAACATCTTTTACAAGTCCACTAAAATGGTTTTCGTCGTAAACTTTTCTCGTACTTGTGACAAGAGTTGAGTAAATTTACTTTGTCATTCTCAATAGTTATCTGTTAGCAAAGATGAATGGTTAAATAAACATTAATCTTTCTATTTTAAGCAAAATTAGTGAGCTTGGGAGTTTAATGGGTTGGAATTTGGTTGCAGATCCCAAGAGCCGATTATGGGATGGAACAGGCAATGGGTTTTTGAAACCACGTAGCCACCACCAGTATCAGCCGTGCAACACGGCGGCTCCGCCGTCTAGCCACGGCGTCGGGGGCTCACAAGCACACACCGCATCTCACGTTGTAAGAGGTGGATCTTCGTCCGTTACGGCGGAGACGACCAAATCACCGCCACCATTCATCGACTTTCTTGGAGTTGGAGCCACATGAAGAAAGCGAAATCTGAGACAATTAAATAGAGGAAAAAAAAATATCTCAGATTATTGGAGCGTAGATTATCCCACTGCTGTGTCTTGTAGTCAATGATAGCCCTCCTCCCAAGAAAAAAAAATGGAAAAATTAGAATTAGAATTAGAGGTTATTAAATCGTACAGAGTGGTGACAGTGAAATTTGAGTGCTGGAACATATGTTGATATATTCACATAATAGACAATATGTGTCCCTAAATATTCTTGTTTTTTTCCCTTATATTAAGGTTACTTACTATTTATCCTATTTCTCCTCAGACATACTGTATAATTAATTTTATGCCTCTATGAGTCAAGAAGACTTCGGTAATTAGCTACACAATTTATATGTCAAGACGAATATAGTTTAGTGACAATTGACATATGTTTCTGATCGAATATATTGACTCAAATAAAATAAAATCGGATGTTGGGTAGAGATCAAATTAAACATTTTAAAAGTATATAGATTAAAAAGTATTTAATCCATCCATTTTTTTATGGCTGAGTTCATTAATTGCAATATATAAATGAAATAATTGATATGAGATCAAGGACTGCCCTTTTTTGTTTTTCTTCTTTGAGAAGTCCAAATCAAAAGTCTCACGTTTTCTGTCATTTGTTTTTTACAAATAATTTTATTTTTTCTTGCTTTTGTAATGTAATTTATTTATTTTCAAGATTCTAAAATTGTAGCCACATATCAAACATTAAGAACTTATGGTTTTTTTTCCCTAGAACAAGTTAGAGCAAGGGTGAGAACTTAACCCAAATCTTTAAGTTATTTGATGAATAATACTTGTCAACAGGAGATTCCTAATCATCGTTAAAAATACAAAGAGATTTTTTTTTTTTTTTCC